TGTGTGTGTGCGCTTGTTGTTCTCAGGGCTGGGAGCGGTGTGTGTGTGTTGATATGAATACGTTCTATTTGGGGCTGGTCCCCCAGGAGGAGCGGGACAGAATAGAAACCCTGGAGCCGTTCGACGAGCACGAGGTTAGCCGGACTCCTCCGTCAGACCGAAGCTCTCTGCTGGTAAAAGCCAACCCGACCCTTCCAAAGTCTTCCTGTCCTCCCTCAGGAATGGCACCAGAAGTGCTCCCACTACTTCATCCTGACCGCATCTCGAGGCGCTCTGATGGAGCAGGCTCTGCTCGGTCAGGCCTCAGGTAGCGAAACCTTTCTGCTTCGGCCTCTGCGTCTTTCTGAAACCACTCTGACTGCGTCCGTCTGACCATCTCCAGTGCCGTCCGTCAGTCCGAGCTGGAGCTCCACGGAGCTGAAGGCGAGCGCGGTGCCGGTGTGTCTGGAAGGCTTGGGGTTGGCCTCTACCTGGATGAGGTTAGAGGGGCTGCTGCTGACTGGAGGGTCCAGCAGGGGAGGCAGGGTGACGCAGTGCAGATCCCTGATCAGGGATCAGAACGGCTGGAGGTCCACCACCGTCGAAGCGTCAGCAGATCTGGGTCAGATCAACGTTTCCTCCTCATTCTACAGGTTTTGCTAAACTTGCCGATGATTGGCCTCAGAGGTTTTGTAAATGTTTTCTTCGTTTGCTCTAGGCGTGCGGCTCTATCACACTGTTACCCCCCTTCCCGGAGGAGGAGGAGCGGTGGTGTACGGCGGCCGCTCCTCACCGCTCCGACCCAACTCCGACCTGTTTAAACTGACCTTTGACCCGTCCGCTGCCAAAGCACCGCGTCCAGACGCAGAGAAGGTTCAGGTGGAGCCGATGGACTGTACGGGAAATCCCCCCCCACCAAGATTTCGACACACAGCCACCGTGATCCGGCACGGAGGTGAGCCGAGACCAAACCAGAGGTCCGTCAGTTTTGACCCCCAGTCTGTCGGTGTTGACCCTCGGTCCTCCAGAACCAACTGGACTTCTCTTGATGACTTGAAGACGTTTCACTTCTCATCCAAACGTCTTCTTGTCCCAGGCTCAATCCTTGTTTCCTGTTCATGGCAGGCAGACACTTCCTGTTTGTGTTTGGTGGGAAAAACCAATCAGCTTGTGCTCTGGGTGACAGCAGCTTCCTGAGTCTGGACCAGCAGCTCTGGACTGAGGTCAGTTTTTGTCTGAATTTCCCATAAACTCGCACGTCTGCGCTCTCTGCTCTGTTTCTAAGCTTCTGGAGGTTGATCCAGGGAACTTTGTTCCGTTTCGTCATGATCCACAGTTCCCAGTAGGGGGCGATGTGCCAGCGGCTCGTCATTCTCACTCAGCTTGTTCGTATCTCGGATCCGTTGTTGTGTTTGGAGGTCTGAGCCGAGAGGGTGAGCCTCTGGGAGATCTGAGCCTCCTGACGCCGACGGAACAAGGCTTCGATTGGATCAGAGCAGCTGTTCGTCCACCTCCTGTTCCCAGGTCAGCGGTTTTCCTCTGAACTGTTTCAATTTGATTCTAGAAACGATAAATGTGCCGAATTTCTATGGACCCGTCGCATGTTACTGTGTACGTCTGGAAATTTTGTGCGCTCGTACAACGATGGAGGGCAAGAACACGATTCTTTGACTTGTCATCCATGGCCAGCCGCGCTGCTGCAGTAGAACAATTCCACTAACAAAATGAAACCTGGAGATGGAGGCGTTGTTAACTTCATGCAGTGCACCACAGCAAAAGAAACAATAACACAGAAAACCTGTTGAAGAACTCAAAACCATTCATTCTCTATGTATCCGCTTAGCTACACACACACACACAGACTCATTACCATAGCAACTGACTAATAGCAGCTCCATCAGTGTATCGGGATTCAAAGCCAAAAAACACGCAGACATTTCCAACACAAACAGAACATTCAGTCCGTTAGTTTTATGTTTTCAGGCTTGATGTTTAATTTGCATATTAATAAGTGATCGTCTGAACACAGGTGGTTGATTTGCTAATTTAAACTCCTGCTCTATTAATGTTCTGTCAGAAAGTGTGTGTGTGTGTGTGTGTGTGTGTGTGTGTGTGTGTGTGTGTGTTGTCTTACTTTTTAACTCAAACAGACAGAATTCTGCAGCACATCTACATGTTAAGGTTGTCAGAGTCAAGCTAGCATAGCTGACTCACTGTTTTGTTTTTTAAATTAAGACTTCATTCAGACTTGAGAAATGTGATACTTTGGGCTCCTTTCTTCCTGCGTTTGTTTCAGGTATTCTCACTGCGCCCACGTGCTCGGGGATAAGCTGATTGTGGTGGGCGGAGTCTGGATGCATTCAGACGGCGCTCCTGGCGTCGTCATCGTCAGCCTCAGCACGTACAGCAGCATGGAGTTCAGACTAGACACGGTCAGCTTTCACTCAGCTACAGTTGTGGGGAAAAAGAAAGTACACCCTCCTATTTATCGTTTCTATTCACACCTGATAGTCTGGTGTGAAAACTTTTATGATGTTCTGTTATGCATAGCATAGCAGGGTGTACTTTCTTTGTACCCCGACAGATTATGTAGTGTAAAGGTCTGATTCTGATGTGTGTTTGCAGAGCTCCGTGCCCTGGCCTCTGATGCTCCACTCCTTCTGCTCCGAGCTGACGGACTCAGGAGAACCGGCTCTGCTCCTGATTGGAGGAGGCGGGAACTGTTTCTCCTTCGGGACGCATCTGAACCCCCAGCCCGTCTCTGTGTGTCTGCAGCCTGTCTGTGACTACCTGCAGACTCCTGGGCTTTAAATCCGGATCTGGGACACAACAAGATTTTTTTTCAGAATTAAGATATATTTATAGAAATATTAGGTATTTTCAATAAGGTCAGATAAATAAACCACACATTCAAATTCACATGATGTCAGATTTTATGGCTGAGCTCAGAGCTGAGACCCTGACTGATGCAGGAAACTAACAATTTTTACCTTCATTTTGGTTCTTCAACGTCTATAAAAATCAGTTCAAATGTTGTTGTACAGATAAAACTGAGGAGAACTGGCCTAGCAACAGAAAATAAACTCTGCTGTGATTGGTCAGATCAAGTTTTGTAGCTGCGTTTCCATTAAAAATGTGCACGAAAGTTTGTCAATATTCCGCTAATGTCCAAAAAGCACAGTTTTGCAATTGCAGTGAATCACACGTGAATAAGTTTAAGGTGATGGGTCACTAAAAATGTGTGGCGCCAGTCTGCCATCAAACCACATCCGTGTGATGCCGAAAAAAACGCGTTTCCATTAGTTTTGCAAAATAAACCCATTTGAATACAGCTAAAAACCCCTCACCTCATCCTAGCGGCAGAACTTGCTAATCGAAAAAACGCAATTCTTTTTTTCGAAATTTGTTTCCTTTAAGCAAATTTATGTCCGAAATGTCAAATTACGCAATTATATGGTCGATGGAAACTCAGCTAGTGTCAGTATTTTACTGCTACTACTTGGCCAGGTTGAAAAACTCTTCATAGCACTTGAACTGTTTTACATTGTGGCAGCATTGCAGCCACGAACCTCAATGAATTTAATTGGTATAGTAAAGGGGTGATGACTGAGAGGTGCAAGGAAAAGGATTTAAGTGTTTTTACAAATAAAACTATGTCTTTTTGTATTTTTATTATGTATTTTTACAAATAAAACTATGTCTTTCAGACGGACACAGGCTCAGCGTGTTCATTACTTCAACCTTCTTCATTGAACATTTTAAAATACAGTAAATATATTACCTTTGAAGGGCTAAAAGGCAATGGAGTAAACACTACTGTATGGAAACCAAGCACCCACCACTCGGTACAGGCCAGTAATGGCCGACAAACATTCACCACGGCTCACAGAAAACAGTTTTATTATTAAGGAAGAGACCTGACCAGTCTGTTGTGTTATTTGTTCATTTGGAGGCATCAGGGTAAAGAGGTTTGAATACTTTTTTTTTTTTAAATGTATTTGACATTTGTCAAAATTTGCATGCAAACACAGGATTACCTTTTATTTTTTATATCTGAAAGCGCCAAACACGGAAGCATTTTGTTAAAAGAAATCAGTGAGAGAAAAAATAACCACCACACAAAAAGTTCAAACAGATTTTAGTTTTATTTGTACAGCTGCTATAAAAGAAAGGTTGCTGACAAACAGCCCTCAGCATGTCATACTGCATCAGGAACTGGTATGAAAATCATCAGACACGTGACGATGGAGATTGTCAGGCCTGCCTAAGCTCTTCTTCTTGTACAATAATAATAATAATAATAATAATACTGGTGGCCAGACTCGGACTCACAGGCAGAAACACACTGTGCTTGTTCACCATCTGTGTGCTTATTAGTTCATAATCGTTTGAACCCAAACACCAACCATCCATTATGGGAAGTGTTTTCGTACAAAGCTGTGACTAGTCGTTTTCATATCAGTACCTAAAGCCAACTTACACACACAACTTTAAAGAAAAACCTGGAGGTACTCCTTTGTTTATTATGACCTGTAAGTACAGGCATGAGGGTTTTGATTTGGAGTAACAGCAGAGGGGTCGGTTCAACATGTCCGATTAATTTGGTCTCATCCTCAGAAATGTTGGCAGTAAATCTAAACAAAGGAAAATCTCCAGACAGGAAGGGGGGGGGGGGAAAAACACTTTCTCATTCAACGTAAAGTCCATGTCTCCACATATTAAAGGATAAGTTCACACAATAGCATAACTTGATTTTCTAATGGCAACTCGATCTCTTCTCAAGGCATTTCCAATATTCTCTTCACGGATTGAAACCGGCGGATTATTTTTAAAATCGCGAAGTTTTCCCGACGTCTGACTTCATTTCACGGAGAAGAACCAACAAAAAGCCAAAGCAGTAAACCCAAGGCGAGAGAATCTTCAAGTATTCAAGTGAATTTTATTAACATACAAGTTATTTGGAGTTTTTGGTGAACTTATCCTTTAAAAGAAAAAAAAAAAACATCATTTCCGAAATTTACAAATAGAAAATATTATAAAACGAACCACGTGAATCAACATCAAGGCACTGGACACGTTAGAGACGATGGCACGTTGCTGGTATGCAGACAAATGGGGGTGAGGAAAGAGGGAGGAGTGGTCAAGGCCCTGTGTAACTTTACATTTAAGTGCTGGCAGTATTTGTACCATCATGATGAAGTTAATAAATAGCACAAAGAACTGAGCTAAGAAGACATTTTCACCACAGGAGACTTTTGGTCTTTTTCTGGGAATCTGGAAACCGTGCTACTCTGAACTGTAAAGTGTGCAAACGCGCACAACCGGGTGGTTCACATGGAGAGGTCAAAGTGCAGGAGGCCGTTTAAGACTGCGGGACAAAACGCATTAATCTACGTGATAATCTCATCATTCGTCCACGTCTGCACAAATACTGCGTTCCATCGACGGGTACGCCGCTGTTCCCTCAACGAGTCATCCCCACACATCATCTGGACCGATCTGCGGTTTTCTAAGGCCAATGCCCATACCGATATTTAAAAGTAAGGCCAGCTGGTATTCTACGCAAATACTTTTTATTTTGTTTGTCTGGTGCTTCCCCCCCGCCCTCCTCCCCCAAGTGTCAATTTCTTTTCACCTTGAAGGAGAATTTTGAAAGTTTGAAGATATAGATTCATGTAGCAGCGGCGTCTTTCTCCTGTCTCCACAGATCTGCTGGTGAAGACATTTTAGCCGACTCACTTGGATCAGGTTCTGTTTTCTACCAGAATAAAGAATTTCCTGGTAGAAAACGCAAGTTTCCCATGTAAGATGACTCTTAGCACTTTACACACGAAGATCTGCTAAGAAACGTTACCGTGCTAATTTGTACGTCTCGTACCTTCATCCTGAATCTTTTTTATGTCTGTAACTCTGTTGTACCAATGTTCCTCTACGTAAAGTATTTTTAATGATTTTTCAAAGATAGCAACAATATGCTCACATCCCACATATTATTAATGCTGTTGGATATTTTTGTTTAAATCTCAACATTACACCCTGTTCTCATTTACTTCGGTTCCGACCAGCTGACTCCTGTGAAATATGACAGATTATAAAACCAGATTTAACAACAACTAGCTGCTCTTCTGCTAGCTCATATTAACATTAAATTGAATCACATTTTCTTGCAGTAAACTACAAATAACCTTAAATCATTGGTTGTCAGTCACGATGTTTAACAAAATAACTCCCATCTTCTCGTTGGGGTAAATCGAGTTGATAATTTTATCCAAGCTAAGAGGAGTTTACGCGTTTTGTTTAAAATGGCTATAATATTAGCAATTTTCGCAACATGGCTAGCATTAGCTTGTGTAACAAAATGCCTGGCATCTTCTGGCTGGGGCAAATCTAGTTGCTAATGTGCAAGCTAACAGCTGACGGTTTAAATAAGACCGTTTTGTTTAAAACAGTTATCAATGTTCACAAAATGACAACCATTAGCTTGTTCTGTGTGACACAGAAACCTTTCTCTGTTAAGGAAAACATGTTTTAGCAGATGCGGCGTGTGATGGGATATCATTCGGGCAAACAAAGAAGCTAGTATGTTGTTTAATGGAGTAGCATTTTTGTTAGCTGCCAAAGAATTTGACTGAAATCAACTAGAAAATAAAAGTCTTCATCGGAGAAGGAACAGCGATATCAATGAGCTGGTAACACATTTATATCGTACCTTGTAAAATCTTTCATTTTTGGTGAAATCCAGCCAATGATGTGTGTGACTTTTTTCTGTTGGTGGAACTGAGATGTACCCGTTCTCTCTCTCTCTCTCTCCTGGTGAACATTAAACTACCAAGCATCTCATCGAGGCTGCACTATTCACATTCTGGACACATTTCATAAAACCACGCAGCCAACTCCGAACTTGTGCTTTTAAGCTGGTAAAATATTTCAAAAAGTACCTGCTCATGTAACCCTTCAGTACATGCTAATTATTTATGCATGGAAGTCAAATATTTGGTACAAGTTTTAAAAAACTTAAAACTACACTTGAATTTCTTAATAATCTTAATTGTGTACAAACAGTTAAAATGGCTTTAAAAAAAAAAAAAGAAAGAAAGAAAGAAACCTTGTCTCAGAGTGGCATGGCTTTGCCATGCAGATGCTAAGTACCGAGGTTAGTTTAGATTGAAGCACCCGTGAGCGTAAGCACCAACTGCGGCGTCAGTCGGTGTAAGCGTGCAGACCGGCCCTGAAGCCGGTCCCGATGGAGCTCTCCTCGTTCGGGAACCGAGTGGGCGGGCCGGCCGCATGGCGCCGGTCCAGGGAAGAAACGAATAAGAGCCGCCGGACGTCCTGCTCCGAGTCAGAGGAGAGGAACTGTCCGCAGACGCAATGTGAAGATGTGGAGCCCCAAGGGTTCACTGTGTAACAGCTGGACCACGTCATCTGTTTAACTAAAAACTAATGCAAAAAAATAAATAAATAAAAAATACTACTTCTTCATATTAATTTCAATCAAGTCTGAATGTTTAGAAAAATTAAGCAAGTCCTCTTATTACTTTTAAACCGACACGCGTTTCAGCTCTCGGCTCCCAAACTGCATCCGTTTGTGTTTCCACTGCAGGGCTGAAAGACGTGATACAATATTAGGGCTTCATATCAATCGATATCAATAATTATTGATTCGTTTTTTGTCTTAAATATGTGAAATACTGCCAAACCGGTGATGTGACCTTCCCTGTTTTATTCAATTTCCTCTCCAGCTTCTTCTCTTTGCAATGCATGCTGTTGTTTTTTTATATTGAAGCAGTGAGACACAGGGGTGAAACATGAAGCTGTTGCTGCGCAAGTTACTTAATAGGTTGTTGCTAGGTAACCAAACAGTAAGTGAGTTTGTTGACGTCATCAACTGTGCTTAGCTGGCCAGCTAAAGCCTTTCCCTCTCCCTACATCCCCCAGAATGCTGTTCGGTTCTGAAGCTCAATGAAATGATTGAAAATTCTATTGCATGTATTGAATTACTGATATTAAGTGTATCGCGATATATATTGTTATTCGGTTATTGCCCAGAATCAAACCAAGAAACAAAACTGACTAATGCAGCATTGATTTCAGATTTTTTCATAGCGCCTACAGTTTCAAAGCTAAGGAAAGAACTGTAAAACTGTAGAGGGATTTTAAAATAATAGCTCCGATCCTGGCGTCCTGTTTAACCACCAAGTGGATAAAACTAAAAAGCTATGATTTTAACCGAGGAGTAATTGCACTTAAAAAGTACGTAAAATTGTAACAAGAACTGAAGTCTTCCTGTGCAGACGACTAGAAAGATCTCCAACCTGAACCTGAGCAGCTGACTGCTTTACAGTTGCTGGTGAAACAGAAGTAGAGTCGCTCCAATTTGAGGGAAATTAGTAATATTCACAAAGTTGTAATAATTAAAGCTCGCTCTCAGCTTTTCGGAGAAGTCCAAGCTTCTTTTTTTTTCCAATGTTAGACTGATTTTCGTGAATGAACCCAGAGACTGTCCAAAGATTAGCCCCAGGAACCTGAAAACGGCTCCTACAGTGGAAACACAGCTAATGGTGCAATGATCAGTCAACATCCAATTCCGAGCAGATTTATAGATTCCTCATTATTTTTTATAAGCTATAGAGTTTTTTTTTCCAATAACCTAAAATTTGAAAGTGAAGAAAGTTAGATTTTGATTTGACTTCTTCATGAGGCGCGAAAAGTTTATTACGTTTCTCACAAAATCCCAAGAATGTATCGCAGCGAAACAAAACCCGGCAGTTAGAAAAAAAGGATTTAAAAATAAATTTTAGTTTGTAATAGATTCAGACATGATTCAAAAAAAGAAAAGAGAAAAAAAGCTAATGAAAATATTATAAATTATTTAAAGGATAAATTAGAAATTATTTTCTGAGATTATTATTTTATATTTTTTTTGTAATATCTGTAAATGATGATTGTAAAGTTGCTTCTTTCCGTAACACTGAATCCCTTGGAGCTTCATGCTGACCAGCGTCCCGCTCTGCTTGGCAGGAGCGCCGTTCTGCTGAGGAGTCCGGGTGACCAGCTCGAGGTAAGGATCATCAAAACGTTTCAGAGTCCTCCGAGTCGTTCTCAGTAGTTCCCTCGCTGGAAGGTCCCGAGGGGTTCCTGGGGCTGCGGGGTCCCCGAGGGCCGGCGGCCACGCCTTTACCCCCCTGGTGGGGCAGCTGCCTCAGCAGGGAGCCTGGGGAGGGAGCTCCAGAGCTGCAAGGGGAGCAGAAAGGCATCATGGTAGCCAGAATGAGAGCCAGACAGTCAGCCACCTCTCTGCTAGGAGCACAAGCCAGAGCAGGGGTCAGACCTGAGGCAGAGGGACAGAGACGGACCAGAGAGGAGGAGGAGGAGGAAGGAGACAGGGAGATGTGGAGGAAGCGAGGGAGGCGAAGCAGAAAACAAAGATGGAGCAGCATTCCATTAGTCTCCAGCCAGCTGACAGGTGGAGCAAAGAGAAGGGAGAACACTGAAGACAGGAACGACAATCGGTCAGGGCTGGACGGACTGAGGAACCACTAAAGGTTTTAGATCGCAGCGAGTTATTGATTAATGAGCTGATCTAAAGCTGATCAACTCAAGATTAATTGATCAGCAGCCATTTGCTTAAAAACCTGAGTTTTCTCTTGTATGAAGAGGCCCAACCATCTTACCATAACATGGATGGCACCATTTTCTGTAATGTGCTGAATTATAAACAGGAAATCATGATTAAAGTAACATATATTACAGTCAGCTGTGTTAAATACTGACTGAATCAACAGATAATTCAGTCATTAGACGCTATGGTCATTCATGTTGATTTTTTTTTCCAAATCATGAGTTCTAACAATTTTTTTTTTTTCTTTGAGTTAGTTTGGAATCGAAATCTGTAATTAATTTTTGTATTTGGAAATGTTCAGATTACTTTGGTAACTTTCAGACCCTCCCATTCATTTAAGAGATGAAGAACACACCAGGGGCGGGATGGATTTGTTTGTTTGTCGAATGTCCGGTGTGGTGACGGGCTTTTTTTTTTTTTCCTTTTTTTGCCGCTTTTTGAACTTGTATGTCAGTCTTAGTTAACTTTAGTTTTCATCTAAGTTGTTCAAAATTTGTGTTATTTATTTGTTCATATTTTTGTTAGAAAATATGAAAAAACTTCTAATATTTTTTCAAACAATCAAGTCGGAAGTGCGCCTGATGCCGCCCACGGTCTTTTTGGAATAATAAGCTTAGAAGGCCTTTACAACATGGGTTGCTGAGTAGAAAAATAAAACATGGAAGAAAAAAAAAGATATTTGAAACACGTAATAAATTTTAAAACAAAACCGGAGAAAATGTGTTTAGCATCTCAAACCGAACTCTGATTGGACTGTTTTTTCTTTCCCGTTCTAGTAAGGCTCAGCCGGCTCCCATACGTATGAGCAACGCCGCCCTCTGCTGGATGGCGGCCAAACTACAACACTAAAACAAGGTCTCCGTGGATGAGAACTAGTTTTAACGTAATAAACCATTAGTCAAAAGTCAATTAATTGTTCACATCCCTAATCTATCCCACAGCTATCATTTATTGTTCATTCCATCCTGAATAAGAACAAAGAAATCTAAAAGGGTTTTGAGCTTTGAAACAAGGATGAACCACATGGCTTTCCCTGTGGAAGGAGCCTCAAAGCGGAACATTTTCAGCCTCAGTGAGACGTGTGAAACAGAGTGGTGGGTCTTTACTGGATGCTGCTCATTTCACTGCATCAACATTTCCTGTTTTTTGCAGTTTACATCGTTTCTTCATCGGCTGTTCAGAGAACAAAGAGGATCCAGCTGCCACAGAACGCCAACTGCTTCCTGCTTTGGGAAGGTTTTATCGAATTAGCAAAGGATTACTGTGCCGGAGTCAATTTCAAATGCATTACAGCAAAGGTGCATTGTTTCTATTATTTTATACTTATCTGTATTTGTAAAAGAACACACAGGGTTTGGGAATGTTTACAGGGATTTAGGAAATCACCTGTACTTAAATATTGCGGCGTTTACTGGATGCTGTCCTGTGTTTTAAAATGCACAAGTACACGTATAGGAATACTAAAAGATATAAAAAGAAGCTGATAAGCATTAGATTTATTGTTTATGTTTAAATTAGTTTTCGTACTCTAATGTGAGAATTCAAAAAGGGTCGATTTGGACTTTAGTTGACAACTTGGGTTTTAAAAACAGCGACATCCAGCCCTGACCAGTAAACAGAAGACAGCAAGTCGGCAAGCAACCGCTCAGTCACAGCTCCCACCGTCTGAATGAAAACGAAAGCATTTAACATCAGAACCCTTTGGAAAGAAAAATGTTTATTATGAGCCAAAAATCTTATTAAATGTTCTTCTGGAATCAATGTATTCCTGGAGAGATGCTTTGAAATTAAGGATGTACGATACAATGGTATTAACATCAGTATCGGCCGAAGTCAGGCAGTTTTTAATATATCAATACCGGTCCGATAAATCAAACTGGACTGATATTAACATCCGATATTTCTATTTTGTTTCGGATCTGATCTGGAGGGGAGCAGGTTGGTCATGTGACAGTGATGCACCAAAGGATTATGGGGGAGTTTAACTGAAGCAAAGACACATTGGTGAAGTCAAAAGGGACTAGAAATGTATATGATATTGGTAAATATCACTTATTAATATCGGCCCAAATTTTTATATTGTTGCATCCCTAATTAAAATCTTTTCAAAGAGCTGAGAAAGTATTATAGGAGAGTTGCTACAATTATAAAAAGAGAGAAAATGCACAACAAGTTTTGCCTGAAAAAAAAAACACAAAATCTTACCAAGCAATTTTGGTCTAGTTTCTGGTTCAAATATCTTAATGCACTTGTAATAAGACAAAACTAATTTATAAGTAACTTTCCAGCAAGATACAGGAGCTTGTTTTAAGTGAATAATTCCTTAATATTGACGAAAAAGTTCAATAGCAGATTATTTCACTGATAGACATTTTTCTTATAAGTGAAATAATCTGCCAGGGCAACCACTACTTTTTCATCAATATTAAAAAGTTATTGCCTTAACACAAGCTCTTGTTTCTTGCCGAAAAGTTACGTATAAGTTCGTTTTCTCTTCTATTTGCACTAGAAACTAGACCAAAAACAGTTAGTAAAATGTTGTGCTATTGCAGCGTAAGCCTGTAATGTACATGTGCAACGTCAACCCAGTGGGAGCTGCTGTTAAAAGTGGAGCATCTGCAGAGCAGAGAGAAAGTCGTTTCCAAACCCTTCAGCAGTAAAGTGCAGTTCATGCTGCAGGAGAGAGAAGCGTTCATGCAGCGCGGCAATGATGGCGTGGAGCTGGTCGTCCTACCGTTCTCATCGGCCGTCTGGACGTTGGCTCCTCTGGACAGCAGCTCCTGGACCGCCCTCTTCAGGCCGCTGCGGGCAGCCAGGTGGAGCGGACTGACGGAGACAGACAGTTTCACACTGACATCGCTTCACTGGGTCATATCACACTGCTGCCCAGGCTAAAGAGAAAACAACTTTTTCCTTTTGTTCCTTCTCTTCCAGACACACCAAACCAGGGAAGTTCCACAACATTTAAATTTTATAAACACTTTTTCCAATAAGTAATCCTACAAATTTTAGCAACATATAAAGTCAAACCTGGAGTATAAGCATGTATGCAGCGCCGAAGTATTTACTCCTCGTGAACATTTTTAGCATTTTGTCGTGTTACAATCACAAGCCTCACTGTATTTTATTGTGATTACAATGTAATAAGCAAACGCAAAGTATTGAGTGATTGTCAAGTGGAAGGAAAAGACACATGACTTTGAGACTCTTTACAAATAAAGATCTAAAAACAATGTGGAACACATATGTTTTCAGCCCCCTTCACTCTCATACCTCAAAATAAAATCTATAGTAAAAACCATTTATCCTGCAAAAATCCATCTAAAGTACATAAAGTTGTAATATGACAAAAGCCTTGTCTAAAATGGAAACATATCTTTATAAAAAATCACTATATTGTTTAAAAAACATGATATCATCCACACGGGATCAGTTTCAATTTTCATCCACATGAACCTGCACAACCATGCCAAACACATAGGGGGCAGTGTAGCGCAAAGCTAAAACCTGTTAGACAATACAAGTCATTCAAGACCAAAATGACTTCCTGTTAGGAATTAAACATTAATGAGTATATTAGATTCTAAAAGTTACTGAAGCACAAGATGATGTAGACTGTTAATACAACATAAAAATAAACGGAATGCATTCGCAATATATGAATGTATGAATTATCTTGTAGATAATTCATACATTTAGCTTCATTTTTATCCAGCTTCTTAGACACTCACGTTTGCAGCGCTGCATTTGTGGCATTTATGAGTGAAGAGTCAGACATCTTCTCCATGATCAACAGCACAGAGTCTTCTTTCCCCTGAAACCAGAACATGCTACAGGTCAGGAGGAAAAAAAATTGGCACTTCAGGTAAACAGAGTAAAAACGCATCAATTTTCTCATTAAATGTCCCAGTCAAAGCATTTTAAATGATCCGTTTTGGGGACAACTAACTAAACTCGTGTCATAAAACTCACAGCCGGTTTTCCTCTGCACAGCTTGCGTAACTCCCTTAAGGGCCGTGAACAGTACTCTGTTGATTCTGTCGAATCTTGATTTTTCCAAACAATCTGAGTGTTTTTCACCTTTCCTATTGCATGCACACGTGTAGTGAAAGATTACTGAGTCTGTGACTGTCTGTGTGGAGGAGAGCTGTGCAGAAAGCAGCTGAAACATGCAGCCATTAAATGACAATCAAAGAAAAAAAAACATTTATAAACACCAGAACAACTTTTTATCCAACTTTTGTCCTTTATATATATATATATATATATATATATATATACACACACACACACACACACACACACTCACTGTCGGCCACAAGCTGAATTACAAGCAACTCATGTCAAAACAGAGACCAAATGTGCTAAAGTTAGCATACCGCATTAGCAAAAACTAAAGCTATGCACTTACATTACTGCAAGCCAGATGCAGGGCAGTGTTGCCATCTTTGTCTGTTAGACTGAGGTTGGCATTAGCGCTGGACAACAGCAAGTCTGCAAGAGATGTTGCAGCAAAAAAAAAAAAAAAATGTTAATACGCAGCAAAAACAACAACCAGACTGACTGCTGGGAAGGTTTTTAAATGGACTCAAATGGTCATTTTCCACTGGCACCTGCTCAGCAAGGCTCAACTTGACTCTACGCAGTTACAGATTTTCTCTAGGTTTAAATTAAAAACTAGAAAAATAAAAAATCAGAAGAAAAAAAAATCAAAAGAAAGCAAAAAAAAAAAAAAGTTTTTCAAAGTAAAAACTTAGAGAGAAAACTCTCTTGATTTTCCTCTAGAACAGTGGTTCTTAACCTTTTTTGAGGTACCGAACCCACCAGTTTCATATGCGCACTCACTAAAATATGAGTTTTTTCCTCCAAATTCAAGACTCTAGTTGGTGCCCCAACTAGAGCCTAGTTGGGGCACCCCATGATCACTAAGTCTTCTTAAAAGGTAGTCTCTGAGAACAGTTTTCAAAATATAGTCAGTGTTTTCAGCAAAGTTGAGCTGAGTGAACAGGAACGACCCAAGGTATTTAAAATTTGCCACAGTTTCAACAGGTTGGCCATCGAGAGAAACTGGAACCACTTTAAGGTCTTGTTTAGATCATTTGATTAGCTCTACATTCTTCAGAGAATGAAAAATTAGCAATAAAGACTTTGGTATTCTGATTTAGTAATGTAATTATATTAGTTGTGTTACCACCCCCATGCCACTAGAGGCAGTAGCAGGCCCGAAAAGATGCGACTAAGGAGCAGATTTAGAAGTACACCGAAAGCTACAGAACTTAGTAAAAACGGTGAGTTTTGCTGAAGTAATTAAAGACACAAGTTCAAATCCATGCTGAGAGTGGAGCTCCTTCAATCAGTGCTCCTCCGCAGCTCTGATTGGCTAAACAATGTAACGTGATCCTCTGCAGCAAAGCGGGGCGTCATCACGACTTTACACAGTGTGTCTTTACCTCCGCGGCAGAGGCTCCACCGAACCCCTGAGACCGACTCATCGAACCCCTGAGACCGACTCGTCGAACCCCTGGGGTTCGATCGAACCCAGGTTAAGAACCACTGAACTAGAAGTTACATGTTCTGTCTCAAAACAGATTTGGTTTCGATTTGCTCACGAATGATAATTTTTGCACCTTTCGGAAAAATGCACATAAACCATGTTCATATGTTATTAAAGCATTTTGTAGATGCCTATAAATGTTTCCCAAATTCTTTCTGAAGTTTGAACAAAGTAATAGAAAGGAACAGACACAAAAATACCTAAAAGGTCTGAAATCTGATGATACATAAAGCTTAAAAGAAAAGTATTAGCCTCAGTATTGACGATTTGTTTACTTGGTATTGGATTGATACCAACATATAAAATATTGCACAGCGCTAGTTTGTGTCATGTACACGTCTGTCGTAACACTTCTTGGACTCTGGGGTCATCCATATGAAGACCCCGCCCTCTTACACCTGTTAATCTTCTGGAAAACCAGAACTGTGCAGAGTCGAGTCCAGCTGCTAGGTAGAAAAGCGCCAAAACGGGAATCATCACCAAGAGCTTCGGCCCGGCCCTTCTCAGCTGCCATCATGAGTGCAGTGCGGCCTGACTGGTCTGCGGTGTCCACAGGTGCATCATGGGAAAGGAGCAGCTGGATGCAGTCTACGTGGCCGCTGAACGCCGCGGCGTGGAGAGGAGTCCTGCAGGAGCGAAAACAGAGTAAAAAGCTGCGATGCAGCGCAGACCGATGGCGCTGCAGCACCAGTGCCTTCGCACCAACGTCTTACCTGCCCTTAGCGTCACTGCAGCCAGCGATGTCCGACCCCATGGCCTCCAGCAGCAGCGACGCACACGGCTCATGATCGTTCAACCTGGCAGTTTAAGCATCGACACATGAAGGACACAGAAACGGCAAAACAAGAGAGCCGCAGAGAGAGCCGGCAGACAGACTTACACCGCGCAGTGTAGAGGAGTGAACGGATTCCCGTCGATGCACCGGCAGCCTTTCTGCTCCAGCAGAACCTCCACACACCCTTCATGGCCTGGAAACACACACTCATTGTTAGGGGGGCACCAGTGGAGTTTATTTATCTGGGTTTATGTTTTCGTTTGTGGAAATTTATTCTGTAAAAATGTTGTCCTCGTTTCCATAAACCTGCATGTTTTCAACATTTTAATGTCAAATTAACCTATACAGATGAATAAATTCTGCACAGTTGGAATAGTTGCCTAATTTTGGCAGATTTAGCTTAAAACAGTCCAGCTAGTTCCTGGCAGTTATCCAGTGGACCCGACCTTCTCCCAGCGGCGGGCGTCTTTCAGTCACTAACCGTAGTAGCAGGCCCAGTGCAGAGGCGTGTACCCGCCGTGGTCTCTCAGTGGGGGCAGAGAGGGCGACTCTGAGCAGGCGATGCTCAGAAGCTCGCTCAGCCAGGAGGCGTGGCCTCGTGCGGCGGCCAGGTGGATGGCGGTGCGACCCCGAGAGTCTCCTAGCAACACTGAGGCCTCTTGCTCCAGCAGACATTGGATGCACTCCTCCTGGCCACACAGCAGCTGGGGCGGACAGAGAGCAGGCCAGAGTGTAACTTCACAGGAACAGTCTCATGATCAACAGCAGCAGGTCTGACAGACTCATTCATGACAGGCATCGGCTGGATCAGCGCTCTGCAACCTGCGGCTCCGGGGCCACAAGTGGCTCTTTGGATCGTTCACAACGGCACTTAATGAGTGCACTAAAAATCACATATAATGAACTGTTGTTTGTAAATATAGATATGATAAGAAATGCCAGCATTTTCATGGAATAATTGCATTAAATGATACTAAAAGAATCGATCAGTTCAATAACCTGGAGTACACACACTCTACAAAACGCCATCTGCTGAAAGAACGACACATTCTGAGTAATAACTTAAACAGGATTACATACAAAATAAATAATGTCCATGTCCACAAACCTTATCTATAATTATGTTCCACACAGAACTCCTCAAGTGGCATTTTTAGCTTCACCTGGTAAATTGTTTAAAACAAACCTCGTATGCGACACCTTTAGCTGTTGAACTGGACTTTCCACATGATGTTAGAAGGATTATCTGGCTAAAGATGAATCCTTTGCTACAAATTATCAAGTGTTCACCAGAGGAGTCCTGTTACTCAATTTTAGGCAGTAAAATGTTTATTTTGCTACTTTAAAAAGAATTGTAGTATCTGCTTATTTACATTTTTTATGTATTGCATAAAATAAGACTGAATCATTTAATGAAAAATTAGCTGACTGTGATAATTATTTTATTAAATGAATCGTCAAAATAATCGATTACTAAAATAATTTAATTGCAACCCTAAAATTATCACTACATTAACCATCTACTTTTCCTACATTTCTTTTTTTACAAATATGAATATCCCATAAAATGAAATGCATCCATTCCTTTTTTAAGCTTTTTTTATATTGTTCTTTAAAACCTAAGAAACAAAACTGTATTTTTCTTTTTAAAATAACTTCTTACAGTAGATATTTTTTTTAAATGAAATATTCTCTTTTTTTAAAAGGCTTGTAACATTTGCAGCGCCAAACAATTTGTATGTAGCTTCATAAAGGCTGCAGAGCCCTGTGACAGAGACTCACCCCGAGGTGGAGGGCTGTGAGGCCGTGGCTGTCGGCCATGTTGACGTTGGCTTCCCGCTCCAGCAGCAGCGACACGGCGTCGACGTGACCTCCAGCCACCGCCAGCATCAGAGGCGTCCTGCAGGAAACAGGGCGACGCTTCCTTAAAGCAGCAGACACAAAAATAATGCGGGACGGCAGAAGGGAAGAGCACAACTCACTGTCCCTGAGAGTCGGCGGCATCAATGAGCTCCGCACCGTCCGATTCATCCAGCAGGAGGCGCACACACGTAGTATGGCCGTTCATCACTGAGCAGAGAGGAGCAGACGTTGGTCAGCTGACTAACTGTTGGATAGTGCGACAGAAACTGGATCCAAACCAGACAAAGGCGTTATAACCATGACTCAAACATGGCTGCAGCGCTGCACTAACCGTTCCCTCTAAATGAAAGGCGATTTGATCGAAAATCTAAAATTTAACCTGAACTCAATCCATGACCGTTAACCCACCTGCCAGGTGAACAGGTGAACGGCTGTACTGCTGATCACTGGAGTGCGGCGACGCCCCCTGGCTGAGGAGCGTGTGAACGCAGTCGGTGTGGCCCCGGAGGGCGGCCAGGGCCAGAGGGGTCCGTCCTGCCTCGTCGGTCTGGTCCACCTCCCTCTCCCCCTGCAGCAGGACCTCCAGAGCCTGGGCGTGGCCGTGGTATGCCTGACGGAAAAACGAGCTCAGAGTTAAAAACGTTAATAAAAAAACGTTTAACAGGGAAACAATTAATAATTCTTCATTAAAATCTCTTAACGGGTCAGTGTTAGGTGTTTTCTAGCCATTTTATAGAATAATCAAATAACCATTGTGCCTTCAGTTGTTATAAGATGCTTGACTTAAAAGAAATTTGACTTTGCGTTTGAACACCATGAAAGTGACAGACTTTTGCCTGTCTCTTTAAGAAACTCCTGCTTTTTCTGAAGCTGCGCATTCAGGAAGTCATGACAACATGGCTCCTCAATTAACCCTTTAACAAAGTGCTGCTCTGAGATGCAGCTCCTATAATGAGCTCAGCAGATGCTCAGGTCCACCAGGTGTTTGCTAATTGCTGCTGGCTAGTCTGAAGGAGCTGAGGGGAGGAGCCGCACGGGAGGGCTGCTCTATGCTGCAGCTCCGAGGAGGAGCTTCGTTGTCAAAACGGGGCTCGGTCCATCCAGGTGTATAGAACAACTCAATGGTTGCCATGGAGATTAAAGGATTTCTCAAACTTGCATGGAGGAATCATAGCAAAACTCCAGATATGTTTTTGAAGAGGAAATAACAATATAAGATGACAAAAGTTGGATTTTTCATAATACTGCTCCTTTTAAAAACATTTTGTTGACATAAATAAAGCAGAGACAAACCAGTAGAGATGATGTATTAAATCATTTACTATTAACTTTACTTGGAAACCGACCTTATGGAACACCTTCGCTCATAACGCATGACGTTATGTGGATTACAGTAAAAAGACGAGCAGGAGAACAGAGGAGACTTACAGCGAGGTGCAGAGGGCTCCTGGCATGAGGAGACTCAGGATCTTCTTGAGGTCCATCGTCTCTGTTCAGCAGCTGCATGTCAGAACAAAACCAGCATGAGACCCGGCTGGCTGGCCTCAGAAAGCCGTCATATGGGATTAAAGGATGCTTAATGTGGGAACTTTAATCACCTTTTTTTCTGAATATTTAAAGAATATCTCAGATTAAGGTAAGGGATTATTAGGGATGATTAACTGGCTGATTCAGCAGTGTTTTAGCTGGATCAGACATTTCAACTGTTCCCACAGAGGCAGGATGTTTACATTCAGACACTTAGGAAACTTCCAGCCCACGTGGGATTTATTTACAGTCTAGCAAAGACACACAGAGACTTTACAGTCAGCAAATTCATGTAATCCTGATAAAAGATGGAAAAGACGGTCAGAAAAATATCATTCTAGTCTATTCACTAGAAAAAAAAAAAGATTCAAAAGTTAAGATGCTGCGACGTGGGTTATAAGGGAGATATTGTCATTATTTTGTCACTTCCTTCAGCCTTTGGCCATGCACAGAAAGCCCATTCCCAAAATAGCAGCTGACCACATTAACATGAGCAAACACTCAGAATGACAAGTTGCTGCTTTCACCAGCATCAGACCAACATAACATGGCAACGACTGGGGGGTGAAAGTCCTTACAGGCAGTTTTAGTCCAAAAAACAAACAAAAAACCCCACAAAAGTTACTGTGTCTTTGTTAGATTTCACTGGGCTGTGTGTCTGTGTGTGTGTGTGTGTGTGTGTGTGTGTGTGTGTGTGTGTGTGTGTGTGTGTGGGGACCAACCAGTTCCAGACAGTGCCTGTGACCAAAGGCGGCAGCGTAATGGACAGGACTGTAGCCCTGTTTGTCTTTGACCGAGGCCGTCGCTCCGCTCTGCAGCAGGAACTCCAAACATCTGCAACACAAACACAGAGACTCAGCGGAGGGAGCAACCGGCAGCAGAACATCCAACATGTCCGAACGATTCCCCTCACAGCGCGGCCTCCTTCTCCCTCTCCGCCTGCACTCCCTCGCTCTCTGGCTCCAGGGCAACACGCCGCCTGTGGAGGGGTTGAAGGTAAATGTTAGCAGAAACGGCGTCATCTCACCGCTTATTTTACAGCACTATTACCAGCATGCTCTGAAACACGTGCTGAAGTCAAGGACTGGGGGCCAAATCCGGCCCGCCACGGCTTTTTAAATAGAGCTCTGTAGATAACTGCTGTGCCGAACGCTTTTTTGGCCTCTGGGAAACGAAAATGGAAAAAAAAAAAAAAATGGACGGTGCAGCATGATGAGCCGACCGTTTAGGAATGGGATGAGGCGAGCAAGGTTATTTACAGGGTGAAAAAAAAAAGACATTTCTGTGAATTTACAGATGGACATTATTGCTGAACATTGGAAGAATTATGACACAAAATGTATGTCTGTGGTTATTTGATGTAAACGAAGAACTGATGTATTAGTTTTCAAAAAATCTTAATTTTTGTCTCTTTCAATTTAAATTAAACTTTGCTACATGTTAATGTCCCCTCTGTTTTTCTGATTAAATTTCATTAAAAATTATGTACATGTTAAAAGGGAAAAAAACATATGATCTATTTGATCTTTTGCTCTCTCAATTTCCTTTTCTTTTTTTGATTGATTGTATTATAACTAAAGAGTAACAACTGTGTTTTTAACATTGGGATCAGCATGATAAATAAAACTGAGCGGATATAAACAACAAATACTTGTTGCTGTCTGTTTCTGGTTGTTTATTTTTTTTCCAAAGGTTTAGAAAGAATAAAGTAATATACATAACATTGGTAAATATAAGTTATAGGCCGCAGCAGCCAGAGGCGGAGCCAGAGGGGGGCCTGGGGGGCCAGTGCCTCCCTGTCATCTGATTGGCCCCCCCAGATGATTGACATATAACAGCACCAGGTCATTCCTGTACATTATTTGGAATCATTCTAAGTCAAGCTAATATCTAAAGAAGAAAAACAATAATAAATATATGAGAAGAAAATGTATAAAACTTTATATAAGTCCATGTGGTCACATAAATAAATAGATTTATATCAGACGCGATATCAGCCTCTTTTACACTTGTACTCATAAAAACGAGCTGACATTGATCTCCTGGATGTTTCAAATGTGCTGCGCTGTGGTGAAACTCAAAGGCTAAAGCCCTTCATACCTGGTGGTTGTAAAACACCAAGAAGTTATTTACTAATCCTCCACAAAAAAACAAAAAAAACTAATAAGGGCCGACAATGTCCGTAGTTTGGAGCAGAGGTGGCGCTAGAGTTTTTTCGTTGTCCGTCAAAGAAAAAAATCATTTTATTTCCAATTTGTAGTCATCAAACGAAACATTTAGCATTTCTCTGCGAGACCGTTACATTTTAAATTTTGCCTCCCCCCAGAGGTAGTCCTGGCCCCCCCAACTTACTGGCAGCAGCAATATTAATATCGGCCAAACTCCCTAATCAGAACTCATCTGGTGTGTGACATCATGTTACCTGAGCAGGTAACAGGCTCTGTACCAGCTCACCTTCTGTCCAGGTCTGAGGCAGCAGCATAGTGCAGGGCAGAGCGCCCCCACTGGTCGGTCGCATTAATGTCAATGCCACAAGCTACCAGGGTCTCCAGACACTGAAAGTGACGGCTCGCTGCTGCATAATGAAGCGGAGTCCTGAGGGACACGGAGACCAACGTATTAAAGCGACACCAGCAGAAACAACAGAACAAGAAACAAGACCCCATCTGAGGCAACAAGTCAACATGAGAGAATTTAAGCAGACTGAAGCATGGCTCAGTGACAGGCTGTTGTGCCGTTTCCTACCTGCCACATTTGTCTCTGCGGTCATGTTCCCCCCCACTGCTCAGCAGCAGTTTGACACAGTCCACATTACTGCACAGAAAGAGAAACCTGGTTAATGGAAATGTCTGGCTGTTAATGTTTACAAAGGGTTGGGTTATTTTCAATTTTGGTGTTTAAAATAACACCTTTTAAAATAACATTTCCACATAACTTTATATTTCGGTTGGCTTGTTTGTTTGATCTTTCGAGTCGCCTTTTTACTTGGTGACATTTTTTTTCTACCTTACTTGAGTGAAAATGATTCTGCCACAATATCAGATGAATTCATGAAGTTCCCGGCGGCACTCACCCTCCAGCAGCGGCTGCGTGCAGGCACGTTCTCCCGAGGCTGTCCGGGGTGTCTATCTGGAAGCCTGCGGACAGGACCGAGTCGTTACACATAATGCTAAACCTCCGACCTGAAGGAGGCGGCACAGGGAGACGCAGGGAGGCCAGACAACACACATCGGCAGAGAGACAGAGACAAGAAGAGAAGCAGGCGGGCGAGGAGAGAAAGACAGGTGTTGGTGTGACAGGAGGGAGGAAACGAGGCTCACGTGATCATACAGGCGGACAGATACGAGCCGTATGTTGCAAACGCAGACGACAGAACTTGATGCCTTCAGGTTACACATACAGTCGGACAGTCTGAGCAGCTCAGAACCGGTGGGGACGTTGAACCCGAGGCCTTAGCGCGACGCTCAGGAAGAGCGCGGCAGAAATAAGACGCAACAACACACACACACACACACACACACACACACACACACACACACACACACACACACACACACACACACACACACACACACAAAACCTCGTAAAAACACACGCGGGGTCAGTGCGACCCCGCCGGAACTAAGCATAGATTAAAAAGCTCGCGGGGTCCAAATTGACCGAGTCCCTTAAGACCACGAGACAGAGAGTTGATACACTGATAGACAGGAGGCGTGGAGACAGGAAGAAGGGAAATGCTTGATTATGTTTTAGCACAGGGCTGCACAGCGGCGCAGCTGTTGCCTTGCAGCCAGAAGGTTCTGGGTTCGCTTCTCCCTGTCCATGGTGGGTTCTCTCCGGGTACTCCGGCTTCCTCCCACAGTCCAAAAACATGACTGTTAGGTTAATGTCCTGTGTGTCCTCTGTGTTGCCCTGCGACAGACTGGCGACCTGTCCAGGGTGACCCCGCCTCTCACCTGGAACGTTAGCTGGAGAGGCACCAGCACCTCCTGACCCCACTAAGGGACAAGGGTGTAAAGAAAATGGATGGATGGATGTTTTAGCACAAGCTGAGCTCAAATTACTTTGAGAACTTGCGTTTTGTTTCGACATCTCAGTCATTCTGAAACACGTTCAGACCCGTTTTGGACAAGAAAGCGTCTGTTTTTCCTCTTCCATCCTCTTCTGTGTTCCACTTGAGAATGTAATGAGCGATTCACCCCGGTGTAAACACCAGGTTTCATCCCAGCCCCACATCCAGCGCCTTGTAAAAATATTCCCAACCCCTCAACCTTTTCGTATTCCAACATGTTGCAACCACAACACCCCTCAGTGTGTGTTATTCGGATTTTATACGACAGAACAAGAAGCAGCAAATACATGTGGAGTGGAAAGTAAAATAAAGTTACTGGCAGTCAGAGGAAAGGGAAGTTTGCCACAGTTTTCTAACCGTATTTCCATTCAGTTGTCACACGAATTTTGGGCGTCCATTTAATATGTCACAAATAAAAATATTCCCATCTACAGGTTTGGAACCAATCAAAAAATAATTTAGTGAAACAGAGACAGTCCTCCCCTCTGAGCTGGAGGTTTGGATATAAACAGTTTCATGCCTCTGGTAAAGCACAAACCCATTTGACAAATGTGTTTTCATCTCTCCATTTACACACTAACTGTTTCTCGCAAAAACAGCGTAAAAGAGTTTTTGCTAAATCGAGTACATTATTTTGAATTTTTAGTGTTTCTATCAACATTTCTAGTGCGCAGCTTTAAAATGCACGGATAAAATGTCTATAAAAACACAGCTTCCTATTAATGCAACTTTAAGTAATTTTATGCCTATGTAATGCTCATTCCAGAGTGGCACGCTGGCAGCATTGAAGAAAGTATAAAGCAACTTATTGGTAGTCCAATGAAATGCTCTCAACTCACATTTTCTACCAAAACTGAGTGCCTGAAAGAAGTGAAGAAAACAGACATCTCCTGAAATGTTGCAGTAAAAACTTTGAGCTCCACTTTTAACTGAGGGTAACAAATGCGGCCCAGCCATCCAGCAGCTGTGCATGGGCTAGAAATATAAATAGTTCTTTGTGTTCACTTCCACAATATAACCGAACCACATGATGAACCCTTGTTGTCTGTGCTCATCGCCTGAGGACACAACAAGCACTGGAGTCTTGAAATCATCAAATTTGTGTGGAGCCAGAGTCAAAACATTTTACAGTCTTGTCCCCCCCTCCAATTTCTCTATAGCGTGGCAAAAAGAAGAAGAAAAACTCAGAAAGAGAACAACTTGTTCAGAGAAAGAGTGGAATCCGTCTCAGTAGCTGCATTTCCATTACAAATGTGCACAAAACTTTGTCAATATTCCACTAATCACAATTTTGCAATCGCAGTGTTTCCACTAAATAAGAAACGCAATTAAAATCACATGTAAATAAGCTGTTTGACGCGACAAGTCATTAAAAAACATGCAGTGCCATCATCCTCCAAATGATGCCTTCTTCGTATTTTCCACCAGTGGTAACATCCGGTTGTTGACCATGTGACTTGTGTGGTGGGAAAAATCATTTCCATTACAGTTTTGCAAAATTCTGCGCATTTTCCACCATACTTATCAGTATGTGAGGGTAAACTACCTGAGGACAGCAGCTTCCTGCAGCAGTCGGAGTGAGCGTTCAAGGCTGCCAGGTGGAGAGGAAACATCCCATGGACTCCTCGTCTGTACAGAGAGATGGACAGCATTTTTAATGATTAGAAACCTGCCCTGGCGACGAAAACACTTGCGGACAAGCAAACGCCACACCTTGTGCAGTCCGCTCCGCTAGTGATGAGCGTGTTTATGAGGAGTTCGTGGCCGTAGCGGGCGGCAACGTGAAGCGGGGTGTTGCCGTCCTTGTCCATGCTGTCGATCTCTCCGCCTGAAACACAAAGGGTGGACGCTTGAAGACAAAAGAGCAGCTTCAGGAAAGGACGATGAGCAGAGCGACAACCCACCGTTCTGGATGAGGGTCTGTGAGCGGGTAAAGCGACCGTGAACCGCCGTCATGTGAAGAGGACTCTTCCCGTCTCGGCTCTGGTTGAAAACAAAGCAAACAAGGATTCAGGTTTTAACAGAACAGAACTTTTACTTCAACTGAGCAGCGTGTCGTCCGTCCCTAGGAGCCTGGCTTTACCTGCACGTTAACGTCAGCCCCGTTGTTGACCAGGAACTCCAGGCAGAGCGCGCCGTGTGTGGAGGCAGCAGCGAAGTGCAGCGGGGTGAAGCCTTTGTTGTTGGGCTGGCTGACGTTGGCGCCGTAGTCGATCAGCTCACTGACGACGGCGTCCTGGCCGTTGAAACAGGCGACATGGAGCGCCGTGTTGCCAAACGCGTTGGCCTCGTCAATCTGTTGAGGAAACGTGACCGTAAGGGCAGGGGTGCGTGACAGAAGTGCTGACTTACAGGCAACCTGCTAACTTGAAAGAAATGTGACTTTGTAATTCGACGCCTCTGTCTCTTTAAGAAACTCCTGGTTTTTCTGAAACTCCGCGTTCACGACATCGCTCCTCTACTAACAATTTCACAAAGTTTTTACCAGCATTTCACTGAGAAGTAGCTTGTACTATGGGATAAGGAAATGATCCCATAGTACAAGCAAACAGTGTTTGCTAATTGCTGCTGGCTAGTCTGAAGGAGCTGAGTGGGGAAGTAACACTTCAGGTATGTTTTAGATGAGGGAATAACATTATAATATGATGTAATGCTAAAAAAAAAAAGTAAATTTTACATGATAATGCCCCTTTAAAAAGATGGAGCTGCCATATTTGTGCGTCTCGGTCAATGGTTACCAAATACAACACGAGCTTGACTTGAAGAATTATTGTAGGCGTTTATATTCAGTTTACGTCACAGGAGGAGGTTGTAAACATCCAACGAAGTTACTTGTTTATTGTAAATGGGTGGAATCCTGTAAATATGAACTGAAACACAGAGTGGAAAGGCTTGATCTGCCCTCACCTCTACAGCCAGGTTGAGCAGGTGTTTGACCACGGACAGCTGTCCGCTGGACGCTGCAGCGTGAAGAGGCGTGTACCCCCGCTTGTCCTTACAGCTGATCTCTGCACCCTGACTCACCAGCTGACGCACTACTTCCAAATGACCTGCAGGGGGCAGCAGCACACAAACCGAGTCGCACCTGAATAAGGTCTGGGCTTGAACCTTTTTCTCAAACAGGAGTCGGATCCTGGAACTTTCTGAATGATTCAACATTCATGCTCTGTTTTAGTTGAGAGCTCCACTAACTCCAGCCTTCGCTTTAGCTAGCAGACACAGCCTGACACGCTGAGAACTGAGATGGAAGCACGTGATTGTGGTCATTTTTCTGATTATCAGCAGAAAAAAATGACCAGGACATTTTACTGAAACTGACTTGAAGGCAGAACATGGAGAGAGAAAAAAGACCTCATTATAAGAATAACAGTATCAGACATTAACGTCACCTACTGGAAGACTCAGCCAGCCGAATCTAGACTAGCCAGTGTTAAACATTAAAGCACAAAGTGGCTCTATGCTGAAAAATAACCAGCTTCAGATTAAAAATGAGGTTTTTATTATTTACTGGCAGCATGTTTTCCTGTTTTCTCATTTTGAAATAACAGATTGAAGTCCTTGAAATGTGTGGCACAGTTTGATCTAATGAAATTGTTTCATATTTCTATTTCCAATTTTGAATTTGTGTCTAAGAAGGAATACCGTGAGAAGAACATAGGAGGGGAATAACGGGAAGAAGAAAGGAGGAAAGGCTATAAAACACTAAAAACAAACATTTTTAGGCTTGCATTAATTAAAAAAAACAGCAATAATAATCTTTTTACACATCTTGGACAGGAATAAATGTGACATTTAGTTCTATTAGAAAGCGGTGAGTTGGTCTCACCCATGAAAGCGGCCCAATGCAGCGCCCGGCCGTCCTTCTTGTCGAAGGCGTTGATGTTGGCTCCTTTAGCGAGCAGCAGGTTCACCATCTGAGGGAAAAGCAAGCAGAGGAGGAGGGATTGGTAGGAACAACATGATGAACAAACACAGCTCGTCTCCCGGCTCACTTGTTGCATGAAAACTGTGGCGGACTTGTTGGTGGTGGTGAAACAGCAGATTAATTTTAGCTCCGGCACATTTCTGAATGATTCCGTCAGAAATGAAAAGGCACCGCCCACTCCAAAACCCCACCGATACAGCTGCTCTCGCCCACCTGTTTCCTCTATTCATCCAACCAACCAGAATAGCAACAAAGGGCCGCTTACATCACAGCCGCCCTCTTCAGGAAAACTGCACTGGAAAAAGCTGCTTCAGTCTGGACTCTGCCTGCAGTACCTCTGTGTGACCGTTGAGGGCGGCGTGGTGCAGCGCGGTCCGCCCGCCGCGGTCCGACACGTTCACGCTGCTCAGCAGGGGGATGATGACCTCGGCGCACCTCAGAGCGTTGTTGGCGGCGGCAACGTGCAGCGGCGTCTGCCAGTTCTTGTCCCGCGCGTTCACGTCTGCAGAGTGTCGGATCAGAACCCGCACGGCGTCCTGGAGGGGAAGGCGAGACAAAACAGACCGGAGGACGACTTTAACCAGAGTCACTATGGAAAACAAGAGGGATGATGAAGTTAAAGGAATACGGATTATTTATTAAGATTTGTTAAATGGCAGCACGATGAGACAAAACGTTTCACTAGGCCTGTCGCAATAAGCAATAAATCTAATTTTTTTTCTCATGTCTCTCTTTCTACCACATTGTGAAAAAGTTCAATTTGTATGTAGAGTTTTTCGGTCAGACCAAGTCATAGCAGTAAGAGACTGTTAACTAGCTGCATTTCCATTGACCATATAATTGCGCAATTTGACGTATGTAATATAAATTGGCTTAATGGAAACACACCAAATGCATAGAAACTCTCGTTTTCTACAAAAAGGGATGGGGTGTACTTCTGGCCATGTCAAAATAAGTTCATTAGTTCAAAACGAAAGTTTTAATTTAATTATAATGTAATTAAAATATCGGATATTAAATTGGGTTTTTTGAAATGTTTAAAAAAAAACTTGTTCATTTCATAAAACTGAAATGAAAACACCGGCGCAAACCCTTGGAAGGACAGAAATTGTGTCTTTTCGACGTTAGCGGAATATTAGCGGTTTCCATTACAAATGTGAGCAAAATTCCACAATTTTATTTCCATTAAATAAGAAACGCAATTAAAATCAAACGTGAATATGGCTGAATAAGCCATTAAAAAACACGCCATGCCTTGATCCTCCAACCACTTCCTGTCGCCTTCTTCTTCGTGGTTTGCACCAGTTGTTGATCACGAGCAAAAAAAAAAAAAGCAACTCCATTGCATTTTTGCGAAATAAAACAATTATGATACGGCAAGAAAAACCAGCGCCAGCTGGTTTTATAAAACAAAAAAATACTTTTTTTTTTCTAATCACAGTGTTCCATTAAGCAAATTTATTTTCAAAACGTCAAATTGCGCAATTATATGGTCAATGGGAATACAGGCAGTGACAAAGTCGTGTGAACTTTTGTAAGAGAAGTGCAGCTACTGCCTGAAGTGAAATCAGACCAAACTCTGTTTGTTTCAGAGAAGTTTGGTCTGATTTCTTTCCAGACTGTGAGAAAAGAAGTTGTGTAAATCTTTTTACTTGATGTATGTAAACTCGTGGCTCCACTTGAGTGTGTATGTGTGTGTATGGATTTGTGTGTGTGTGTGTACACTCACCTCACTGCGGGATGCCACGGCGCGATGCAGAGGGGTAAGCCACATGTTATCTTTGGCATTGACTCTGGCCCCTGCAGCATGGAAACATTCATGTGAACACGGTGCTGCTGATCTGCACCTTCACACATCAATATGGCTGTCAGATGGAAGAACACACTGCAAAAACTACACCAGCCATGACGGCACACACACCAGCTAGCTAAAGTAAGACAACTGTGTGTTTCCTTTTCATGTTGTCTAACATTTTAGATTAAGAGAAAAAAAAACAACAAGGACAAACTTAGAAAAACGCTTTCCATAGTAATTCAATCACCAGATATGTAAACTGTGAAAATACTTACAATTTAAAGTGAATATCTGAAGCTAATCTGCTACACAAGTTCTTTAGTGAAGAACATCAAGAAACAGAGGATGCAGAGAAGCTATCAAAGGATTTATGCTTCTGAGATCATTTAATAATAATAATAATAATAATAATAATAATAATAATAATAGTTTTCTGTAAATATTTTAACTTCAGGTTCATATCATGAGTGAAAAAAGGCCCTTGCAACATATAACAGTAGATGGAAAATGTGAAGGATGAAGATCAGAGTGGATTTCTTACCGGAGAGGATGAGGAGCTCGATGATCTCTGCATCTCCCAGGAACGCTGCTGCATGCAGCGGGGTGCGTTTCTCTGGATCCTGCAGGAAAACCAGCAACAAGTCAAGATGCAGCAGGCTCCAGAAAAACAAGCACCCAGGAGAAACCTCAGTGGGATTAACCTCTGAACCAACGGAACCATGCTGGACTCTGGACAGAAAACAATCCACTTCTAATCACATAACCAGCCCAGAGCTGTGCAGACCGCAGTCATGTTTGGTAGAATATTATGCCATGCATGGTAGTTGTGCACGTTAGTCGTATTTCTGGCCTGCTGGATTAACCTTCACAGCCCCTCATGCAAACATTTAATGTGCATTTTTAAAGGCCAGGATGTTGGGACGTTGTGATGAAGGTAAAAATGTGGGTTAACCATAATCAATATCATCATCACTATATTCACCAATAATAGCAAAGCTGACCTGAACACTTTAGCAGCCTCTGATTCTGCTGTGTGCTAAGATATATTAGCACATAGCTAATACCTCTTGTTTTTTGGTGGAGTGTTTTTTTTTTTGTTTTGTTTTTTTTGATGCACCAAATTGAAAACTTGGGCCTATATCAATATTTATATTATGGCCAATAACTGATATGTACCAATTTTATGTACATTACAGTGGGGAGAACAAGTATTTGATCCACTGCTGATTTTGCAGGTTTTCCCACTTGCAAAGCATGGAGAGGTCTTTCAGTTTTATCATAGGTACTGTTCAACTCCAAACTAAAAATCCAGAAAATACCCCTAAATGATTTTTAAGTAATTAATTATTCATTTAGAAAGTAAAAAGGTTGTAATTTATCATCAGAATCACAGTAACAGACCCAGAGGTACCTAGGAATCGCCGTCGGTCGGTAAAAGCCTGACCGGTGCTTCAGGTTAGCACCGAGATAACACATTATCTTCTGTTGCTGTTGACTGTTTCAAGTTTACTTTTTGAAAATGGGACATTACACATCAATTAACATTTACATATAAATGCATGAGACTATAGCCAAAAGGCTAGTTTCCATCTCTAGTCCCATCAGCAGGTTGATGTACATGATGTTTAAAAATAATAAGAAGAAAAAGCAGCCTCAGATACTGCATCAAAAACTCTACATAAAGTAGAAAAGGAGCTAACTAAACAGTTTTTTGTCTACAAGGGCTCAATACGTAGCAAAGCATTAGCTTAAAGGCGCTAAAAACAGAGGTGCATACGATACAGTTAAGCTATGCTAAGCTAAGCAGGCTAATTGTGCGACTAGAAAAAATAGTCACTGTAACAAACAAACAAGTCTACTACACAGTTTTCACATGCTAAACAGATTCATGTGTTTTATTTTGGGTAAATAAATAGTTTTACTGAAGTTTTGGCCTGCTGTTCACTGGAATCTAAGACTGCAGCTCATTTAGTGCAGCTCTAATGTCCTGTCCTTCTGCAGTTTGTCCCCCTGCCTGGCCTCCCTAAGTAATAAACCCAGACTGATTGGAAGACATTCCAAGTGACATTAAGTCGCAGTTCAGAGGTGGATGTTTGAAAAAAAAAAAAAAAAAAATCAACCTATTAATTAAAAAAAATAAAAAACTCTTCAAAGTCTAGCCTGAACCATGTGTTAGTACTGGAGCTGCTCTGACAGACCAACCGAAACGCTCATCACAGAGTCTGATGAAAGATCCTTCCACTCACAGGAACTCTGTGCTTTTTTTTAAAATCGACTCCTGGTCAATGCAGGCTGGTAAAAGGTGAAGTCGGGGTTCATAAATCATCTCTACATCACAGGAGTACAAGCGACAAAGCCCCGTTTACCGCCGGGTTACTAAAACATGCTGCTCGTCCTCCAGCTCCAAACAAATCGGTTGCTATGACACCATTTCAGCAGTTTACATGGAACAAGGTGCTAAATGGAGCGAGCTACACATGGCGGGCTGACGGATCTCGGGAGTTTCAGCTGACGGACGTCCTGCTGGACATTCGGCCACAGAAACAAACTGAAGTGGAAAAGCAACAGCCGGCCCAAGTCCAACCCACATCCGCTGCAGCTCAGCTGCACGTGTTGCCTATCTATAGCCAAATTAGAGCATGTGTAAATAAACACACGCTCTCAACTGTGGCCTCGCTGACCTCTGACCTCCCGACTCAGGAAGTGAGGGGGCGGGGGCGATGGATTATCTCCTTGAAAGTTGACTGAACTGGAGCTCCTGAAAAGCAGCTGCATGGAGACACTTTTAACCTGACGTGTCTTCTTTCTAACATACTTAAAATGTTATTTTTTTCTTGCGTTTGATTTTTTTTTTAATGCAGATCTTGTAGAAAATCCTTCATGCACAGTTTGAACAAGTGGAAGAGAACCCAGCCCTGGTAAGATGTCAGTAGTTGGTGATGTGAAACAGTGAGAGCATTTCAAAATGTATTTCGCCTTGTTGTGACTTAGAACCTTGTAAACTGAAAAGCAGCTGAAACACTGAGCTCCTTTAAACCAAGGCTAAACACCCAGCTGCTTGGAGCCGCCGTTCATGAGCAGCAAATGGAACAGATTTGATTCTGATTCATGATTTTGATGATTTGACAAAATGTAACGTTCATTTCCTGTTTGCTGTTATGATGTAAAGAACTTTGTTGCCTTGTTGCTGAAATTTGGTATACAAATAAACTTGATTTGATTCAAAGACGCAGCGTTATGTAAAATCAACGTTTTTGAGCCTTATCTCATGTTGTAATGTTATTCTCCCGTGGCAAACATTCAACTGTCCAAAACACCTAGGTGAACTCAGTTCTGCCTTCAAGGATGAACTGCCACCTGACAGAGCGCACCTGCCCCACTCAGCTCCTTCAGACTAGCCAGCAGCAATTAGCAACGTCTCCTAAATTGTTAATAGAGGAGCTGTGTTGTGCCGACTTCCTGAAAGTGGAGTGTCAAGAAAAACAAGTTTCTTAAAGAGACAGAGGCTCAGTAACAAGGCGCTAAATTACAAAGTCCAATTTCCTTTAAAGCTATTTTTGATGTGTACAGCATTTTTGCAAAACTGAGGTCAACATTACTTAGTTGTACGCTAAAATGGCACTATGTGCCTGGAAAATACATAATACTGCCCCTTCAACCTGTAGAAAAACATAAAAAATTTAAGTGCTGCAATATCCCAGTTGCATAAGTTTGTATCTAACACTTCAGTCATTTTTGTACATCTTGACTTAATAGTTGATATCTGATAACTCAATCTTACAAATGTGCTCCAAACCTAGAAGACTGAGGACAAATCACCGCACTGTTTCCATCTTATGCACTTTGTTGCTATATTTTGACTTCACAAACCAAAAATAATTTTTAAAAATTGGAATCAGCGGGTCAGTCTTTTTACAGATCGCCCAGAAAACTGCTATTGGTTCAACACGTAGCCCACAGATTTTTCTTTTGTCTGTTGTAGTTTAGGACTTTGACTAGGCTGTAATTTTCATCCTACAAAGCCATTATGTTGTTGATTTGGATTCATGCTTGATCCTCAACAATGTATTCGCTCCTCATCTCCGTTTTTTGGTCAACCTTGACTGGCATTTATTTACAAAGGGTCATAACTTCATCCACTTATATAAAACAACTTCCAACTGAAGTAACCTCACCATGATGCTGCCACTGCCATGTTTCATCGTTAGCATGACATGTTTCAGTAGCCAAACATAAGCAACGCTTCCTGACAAGTTTTTAGTCTTTAGCTAATGGATGCAAATATCAGGGGGAAAAAACTACAAGAACAGCCAAGTTTTATTTCAGGTTCATCACAATGACTGTATATTAGCTGGGTACAGAAGAGTCAATTTAACAGACTTCTGCTACCAGGTTATTTCAGCTTTCTATTATTTTTCTTTTCTCTCTTTTCCGCAAAACGCTGAAATTATTTGTTATGGTTTCACTTTTTAATGCCACAAAAGCCTGGCGTCGGCAGCTTCCCGTGAAGCCCTGTGTCCGTGTCACTGTGTGTCCTCACCAGGGCATTGATGTCTTCAGATTTGTATATAAGCATTCGGATCTCTTCAGGGTCTCCGCTGAAGATCGCCTGGATAAGAGGAGGCTGGAAGGGAGCGGGGGAGAGAGAAAAAAAGAAGAAAAAAAAGAAAACGGTCACATGACTTGAAGCACAAACATTTCTCTTAAGCGCTTTGTCAAAGTGAGGCGACATGATGAGAGCGCGTGGGAATATTTCCTGAACTTTACAACAGGAATTCATTCCTCCAGTGTTGCAAAGCGCTGGAAGTTACTCGGTTTAGGAAAAATATTCCCATCCCCTTTCCTATCTTCTCCCAAACAGACAAACCACTGTGGAAAACACATTGTAGATACAGATCAGAAAAATAAAATGCTTGTGTAGAGAAACTGCCTTTGTGAAAGGCGCGACGTGGAGGTCACATCTACAAGGCCCTTATTTTTCTTTTCAACATCACAGACATGAGGTAAATGCAGGCCCTCATCACTCCTCAGGAGACTGAGGAACACCAGAGACAAAAGGACGGCAGCAGGCTAACTGTGCTGTCAGGAATGTCGAAGCGTTGCGCCAAAGCAGCTCAGTTTGTAACAGTTTTTCAACCTGCTGTTTTCTCAAAAAAAAAAAGTCTTAAATTCATGTAACTATAAATAAGGCCTTAAAATGTCTTACAAACTCATTAGACAAAATTTAGTGAGCCTTAAATAAGTCAACCACAGCTCTTCAGACTATATGCATGACTATTTAGTCTCGTATATTTTATTTTGTTTATATTTGTCACACGACGTTTGAGTCAGGCAAATGTTTGAGTCCCACGCAGACATCCTCATTATGCTCTTTAACTCGAGGCAGTTGAGGCTCCTGGTAACTAGCAGCTACTTACTACAAGTAACTAGCGGTAAGTAGCCACTAGTTACTAATTTCAGTAGCTACATAGTTAGATTTGCTAGTTTACTAGCATCTAGCAAGTCTCAATAGCTAGACTTGCTAGCTATCTCACTGAACTGCCTTGTTGCTGAAATGTGCTATGCAAATAAACTTGACTGATTCGTTGGTCTAATGAGTCTTCATAGCTATCCTTGCTAGCCACCTAGCAAGTCTATCCTTGCTAGGTAGCTAGCTAGCTTCTGTATGCCATGGGTAAGTGCAAATTTAAAGCCAGTTGGCTAGACATGTTCTTTTTCACCACTGGCTCACTTCTGCTGCCAACCCATACAAGGGTAACTGCATTCTGTGGAACCCCCCCCAAAAAGACAAATGTTTAAGCTAGGTACTATGAGGGTTAAGGCTATCGAGAACCATATGTTGTGTACTACAGCAATATCCCCCAACAACGCCAATATATATAGTTTTTTCATTCATTCCAGGCGGTATTAAAATGTCTTCAATTTGACTTTCTGAAACTTGCTGATAGCCCTTTTCTGTTTTCAAGAAGAGAACACCTTCCCTGTGGTGTTCACGGCCACAGTAAGGTGAGACACGTTGAGGTTTCCAGAAAAGCTCTCGGCTTTGAAGTTACTCTATAAAGAAGAAAAAACCAAACACATAACACTGTGGTCAGGGTACTGTTAGCCTTAATACTGCCAAAGTACCGACATGGTGAAGCATTGAAACATTTTTGTGCAATGCGCTAGCTCAGTGGTTGAAACTTTTTAAAAAGGACCACTTCAGTAGAAACTAATGTTTTCCACCATCTTCACAGGCATTTTAGATTCTTGTGTTTTGTCATTAAAAAGAAAAAAACTCAGAACCGCTCCTCCTTGTTGTTTGGGTTGGGGGGACTCCAACCCAAACAACAGGTTGGAGTCCCCCCATCCCGTTGTTTGAAAAGGGGTGCAGGTTGGAGTCCACCCTCTTTTTTTTTATTTTGGCAGGGAATTAAATTTTTGATTGTTGATTCAATGTTGCATGCCTGGGTTTTCGTGTTTAACGATGTAAAGCATTTTGAAATGCCTTGCTGCTGAAATGTGCTATGCAAATAAAATCTGATTTGATAGCTTGCAGCATGCATTTTCATTGACACGTTTAAAATTGCAAGTATGAAGTAAGAAAAATGAGCAGAACCGTTGAAAACCATGTCGATTTTTATTGCCAGTTAGCATTGTTATGAGTTCATCTATATATGCAAGACAAACTACTAATATAGAAATATTTTTAATCTTGACCCCCTCCAAAAAGACACTACAGAAAAGGATTAAACCTACTCTGTTAAATAATTAATAGCTGAGCTCAGGCTCACTTTACTTCCTGTTGTATTTCTGCCACCAGCTGCCTCACTTCCTGTTGCACAGTCTCTCCTTCTCAGAAACACCAGAGAGGAACCGATCGCAGAGCAGCGTTTCACTTCTGCTTCAAACAGCCAGCGGTACTTCCTCATCGGACCCGTTTTGTCCCCCTGAAAGTGGCTGTGGCGTGGTGAGATCATCACGCTGCTGGTGGACACAGCGGAGCCTGACCGTACGGCGCCAGCTTTAAAGCAAACCAGAGAACAGGTCGCATCAGTTACCACAGCTAGGAATTCAAAGAATTTGCTTCGTCTTTAGATTTTATTTTTTTTTAAATAAATAAATAAATCTATAAACATGTTAAAATCTTGGCTTCAACATGTGTGACATATTTTGGCTGTAAAAAGTATGCAAAAAAAAGAATCAGTGAGCAGAAGGATTCAGCTTATTTCATTCTTCCTGCAGATTGGTCACAACGAAAGGAAACGTCTGTGAGCCAGTCAGCGTCTCTTAACGTCTCCAGGTGTTTCTGGAATCCAGCTCAACTATTCCAGGTACAGACGGAGGAATGTTCTGGAGCCTCTCCAGTTGTCTTGTCTGTTTCTTTCTCTTTATTTTGGTCAGTCCAGCAGAGCCAGAGGTGTGTCCCACTTTCAGGTCTCTCCACTTTAAAAGCAGGTTTCATTTCAACACCTCTCCTTCTGAGTTTATCTTTACATTCTTCTGTCTGCACACACCGACTCACAGCATGATGCTGCCACCCCCGTGCTTCCCTGTAGGCCTGGTATCGTATTTACCATGTAACTAACATGCTTATCAGGAAATCATAAAATGTCTTAATTCATTTCATATCATCCTGAGTATGCACTGCACTTAATGATGTTCGATAAATTGATTTTATCAATTAATCGAATGCTTGGCTTTTAAAAATTAAATCTTTGGAAAATGTGTTTTTTTTTTTTTTTCACCGTTTCCCTCTGTGGGTTTGCACAGTTCAGAGTGATGTCAGTGCGTCCTGTTAGACAAGCATGTCTTACAGCTTCTTTTCATTTGGACTTTGAATTCAGGTCAACTCTATCGCTGAATACAAGGGCCAGGCTTTGTTTGTTTTGTTTTTTTACGAGAACAAAGTTATAAGATAATGAAGTCGTAATAAAAAGAGAGCAAAGTCTTAATATTACCAGAATAAAGTCTGGATACTTTAAGAATGAAGTAGTAATTTTAAGAGAGCTCCAACACACACAAAAAAAAAAAAAAAATATATATATATATATATATATATATATATATATATATTTTAAGTGTTATTTAAGCCTTTTCCTCATTAAAATGACTTTTTCTCATGAAAGACGTTCTTTACATATTATGACTACATTCTTGTAATTAAACAACAGTTTTCATACAACTGACAGAAGGAATGTTTGAAATAAATACTTTTTTAAACCATTTATAATTTCTTTTTTTAGAAAAATGAAAAGGGCTGCACAGTGGCACAGTTGGTAGCTCTGTTGCCTTGCAGAAAGGAGGTCGTGGGTTCGATTCCCGCCCCTGGGTGTTGCTGCATGTTTTCTCTCTGTGTATGCGCATCTCTAAATTAAAATAGGTTTTGTACAAATCAGAGTTGTACATAAACACAAACTAGCCTAATTCACATCCAGTTCCTGTTGCTATCTCCTCCGCAGAGACCGGAATGCAGTTCAAATGTCACAGCTGAGGGAAAAGCTGTCGACATTTGGCAGACGCCGACAGCTTTGGGCTTCTCCCCTCTCGTCTCTACATGCATTCACATAACGTGGTGTGGTGGGTGACAGCGCTGTCAACAGCACTGCTCCCAGACTGTTCTGAAACCAGCCTGATACCTAAAGCAAGGAGAGGAGCAGAATGGAGCAGAGGCAGGGAGAGCGGAGGGCTGACAGGAAGTGACATCAGGAGTCTGGTTCATCTTCCCTGCAGGCCGCCCCGAACATAACAAGTCATTGTTGCAGCGGAAACTTTCACATATATACCCTACCACCCTTTTCTCACACACACACACACACACACACACACACACACACACATTTGTTATTATCCCATAAGGACGGCTCAATGTGACCCAGATCCCATTAGAAACCAAAACAATAAGAAATTCTTCTCCAACATGCAGAGGCTGCTCGTTCCTGGCAGTTCTTATTAAAAACAGGTTGAACTAGAAAAGGACGACACAAAAGTTCAAATTGAGTCGGTCAGATTGGCTGAAATGTCCTGCTTTCGTCAAATAATCCACACGCTAAAGGACATTCTGCTTTAATTAGCTGCAAACTATGTCAAATACCGATAATTTGGCACATCAAAAGGCTGGAAACAGACAACGCTTTATGACTGAAAGGGAAAACAGTGAAGCCGCTATTGATTAACCGATCGGTTGCAATGGGTATTTTGGGAAGTATTTATGAAGGAGAATTTGCTTCAAAGACGTTTGGCTCCAAACAGTTACTTTTATTTTATCTGACAGGAAAGATTTTTTTTATTATTCTGCAGATTCCAAAATCTGCAGATCTCTGGAAAATTGGCCCAAATTTTATTCTTTTTGAGAGATTGGTGATCGGCCAGAGAACTGCAATCAGTGCTACCCTTTATCTTTTACTATCAAATTTCTCCATCAAATTATTACAAGTAGCCTGATCATGACATATCGGACAACGCTAATCATTTTGAACCTGTAAACTTTGACAGGTTAAAAATGGGAAAAACCAAAGATGTTATGAAGGAAAGCAAAGAGTAACCATATAAATAAATAAGCATATCTAAGCTGCCGTCAGAACTGGGGATGCACCAATATGAAAATTTGGGCAGATGTTGATATCCAATATTAATATTGCCGTTTTGGACGATAACCGATATTTACCGACATTATATACATTTATCAAAATGTACAAAATGTGCCACATTTTGTACATTTTGAAAATGGATGTTTATTTTTTTCAAAGTTTTATAATAATAATTACTATTATATTTCGAGCGAAATCAGATTTTATTTTACAGAGATTTTAGGATGGAATATGGAAATAAATATAGGTTGCTAATATCGGCCCAGTTTTATTTATCGGGCAGATACTGAGACGTAAAAAAAAAGAAAAAAAAAAAAGACTAATATCAGCTGATACTGATGTTGGTGCTGGTATATTGTGCATCCCTAGTCAGAACCTCCAGAACTTTAGCTTTATTCAGCATGGAGGAGAGTTCTGTTCTGGAGGGCACAGAGAGTAAAGGGAAGATGAAGAAAAGCACAAAGAACACCAAGCCTGCGGGTTTTAGCTGAGTGCTGAGTGAAGGCATCCAGTTATCAGTCATCATCAGCTTGTTGTCTGAAAATAACAGGAAGTCCTGCAGTTCTGGGTTACACACACACACAGACAAACTGAAAGGAAAAAAAAAAAAGCAGCTCTTCCTTCCTTGACGACACATCTGATACGAGCGCCAAATCAGGGTTTCTACTGAGACATGTCCACCATAGAGCAGCTGCGAACGCCACTCTGCAGAGGCTCCCAAACAGGTTCAGAGACCTGTAGGATGGCTTTCTGTGTTCAGCACCATGAGCCCACATTTAAGCCACGGCATCAAACAACAGAGACAACGACTGCATCGTCTAACAATGCCAGCTTTCTCCGTCAGAACTGCCGGAGAGAAAAGTGAATAGGGAGGAACAAGCGTTTTATTCAGTTTGATGAACATTTCCGTGCTGAGTGATGGAGATCACCGAGGCGTTGCACGACCTTCGCCACCGAGGACGCTCCCGTTTCTGTTTCTCTGTGAAGCTACAGTGCTGGGAAAAAAATATTAGTTCTTTTGTTTTCGTTAATCTTTCAGATCGAGAAACTAGGTGTGTGACCACAATGATTAAAGATGCACCGATGCGATATTGATATCTGGATCGGTCCCCGACATTTAAAAATAAATTCAAGATCAATTATCAGTGACGATGTGCCTGATTCTTAAAGGTGGAGCTTTTAAGTCTAATTCTGTGCTTTGTGCTCGGAGTGACATCATGATTTATTATTTATTTTATGCTAAATTTAGAATTTCTAATTGCACTTTCTGAATCATCTGAAAGAAGATTTGTTGCATGTTTATTTTAACATGTTTGACCAAGATAGTCAGCCTATTGTTAAATCAGTTTCAGTGTCTTTATTATTTATTCTACATTGTTTTACTACTAATTCCACTGACTGAACAAATAAAGTCGTATTTACATGTTTAAGATTATGGTTTATGGCTTCAAATAACTACAAATAAGCTGCAGTTATTTGACACCTGCAACTTATTTGTTCCAGTTATCAAATACATTTGGAATTCAGTACATTTATGTCTGTGTTTCAAAAAAAAGAAGCATTTTAAGTCAATGTTCAGTGCTGTTTTTTCCGTATCGGATCGGTATCGGCTGATACCAGACCTCTGATATCGGTATCCGCATCGGAAGTGAAAAGAAGTGAATCGGTGCATCCCTAGTTACGACTCCCTTAGCAACAACATCTTCAATAAGATGCTCTCCACAACTGCCATGGAGTCTTTTTCCCTCCCTGTGGAGGAATTTTGTCCTGATCTTTTCTTGCAGCATACTTTAGCCGAATCATAAGTTTCTGAACACCTTAACAGCCTGTTTTAGATAACGCCCAAGAATCAATCAGGTTCAAGTCCATACTTTGACTAGACCACGTCAGAACCCGATTCTGCGAGAGCTTCAATGACGCCAGGCAGTTCAGGTCCAGACCGTCACTCTACCATCACGGCTGATGGCGGGTTTTATTCTGAAACGCTGTGTTAGCTCCACAGCAGCTGCAACGGGACACGCTACTTCTGAAAAGTTAAACTTTTTCATCATCTAACCCTTAAATATTTTCACAGAAGCCTTGGCAATCGTCAGGATGCTTTTTTTGGGACGCCCTGTTCCGCTGGGTCAGCAGTGGTTTCAGTATTGGAACTCTCACACAGACGGGGTAACTTCTTAGTGTTGAACTCCGACCTTTACTGAGGCTAGAGCTTTAAATGCAACCCCCTGCGTGAGTCACAGACACTCTTGGAGTCCCATGTTTTCTCCATTTGTGGATAACTGTTCTTGTTATGGTTCCGTAGTCACGCAGGCTTAAAAATGGCTTTCCAAACCCTTCCCAGACCAAACTCTGTCAATGATTTTGTAATGATTCAGGTCATCTAGATTGTCAGAATGAAGGACAAAACCCCAAAGAAGCCTGAAATTTATCAAATTCTGCAGATGAGTATAATTATGATACAAGTGAAAGCTTGAAGGAGAAAGTATGTCTCCTTGGGAGAAACATGTTATCTTTCGGCTGCTCATGAGTTCTCTATGTGGGATGTCTAACAGGTCAGCAGTGCTGATCTGCACTGAAGCAGCACTTTTATCATGTTTAATGACTAATTCTGGAGGGAGAGGTTATTCATATCGTGCCAGTCTAAGAATGCACCACTACAATGAAAATAGATCCTCTGATTAAAATAGAAAGTGCTTCAGGAATAATGTACAAAAATAATCAAGTCAATTTTAGATTAATATGTTGGGTGAAGTCATTAAATATTTGACACCAACTTTAAAAAGTTATTACAATGAATAAACAAACATTTAAGCAAGTTTTGGTTTGGTCATTTTGTTTTGGAAGAAACTTAAGCTCAGTCAGGGCTTTGACTGGACCTCTTCTTCAACCATCCTAGATTACACTGGGGATGTGATTGTTGTTGTCCTGTTGATGTTTCAGCTTAGTTGTCAGGTGACTTCACACTGGACTATCTTAAGACAAAAGTTGACTTATGCACAGCAAGGTCCCCAGCCCTGCGGCTGATTAACAAGCCCAGAGTATCACCACCACCACCGTACTTGACAGCTGCTATAAAGGACTGTGTGATTATATGGTGCACAGCAGTAAGTTTGCCACCAAACTTGCTGCTGTGCATCATGGCCAAACGACTGTTCCGTTGTCATCTGTCACAAGGAATTTGCTCTAGTGGTGCTATAATTACTTCTGATGCAACTTTCTGCTTTCCCCACGTTCAGTCTAATTTAAGTGTCATTAATTTCAGCACTTAACATGCTAACTGGAGCCTGTAGGGGTACCGGAGCTCCTGGTTTTTTTTTTTTTTTTTTTGCAATTCTCTGAGAAATGCGTGGTCTGACCGTTGGTTTCTCTAAAGAATGATGAATTTCAAATATTTTTGGAAGTGTCGATATAACGCTTCCTCGATTTATGCGTGGTAAGAATTGCTTTTATGAGTTCATTGCTGATGTTTTCCACCTTAGGATTTTGTTAATACAAACCTGTGTGTTCCAAAGCAGCACACTGGCCTTTTCTAAAAAGGTGCTGCCACTCCCTAATGATCAATTATCCAATTACGTTTCACTGGAAACACCTGGGTGCTACTTTCCTTCTTAAATCCTATGAAAACAGCAGGGGTGTACTTAGTTTTTTTTTTTTTTCATGCACATCTTGAACAATCTGGGGATGCATTGTTAAACTGATAATAACTGTGGGGAACCTTTTGTGTGTTTTTGTTATTTTAATGTTAGATTTAAACAATTTTAAAATCTGATAAAGACACTGTCATTTTTAATGTAGTCTGACAGCAGAATTGAAAGAAGGTAAACTAATATTTGTCCTATAACTCAATTAATTCAACAGGATTTGTTACTGCCAGAACTGAAACTCTACCAAAAATCTCACAAACATTAAACAATAGACCTATTTACAATTAAATTTCCAATTCTCAACGACACTAAACACCAGCGCCGTATAAATAAAGTGGTGTGGCTTTTAGCTAGTTTTTATCTTTAAAGATGGTTAGCATTAAAAATTGAGGGCATTTTTTTTTCTATTATGATTTAGTTTTCTATACTTCTAATAAAATAAAGATTATGGAGTAAAAACTATTTTTTTCTTTTTCAAATGGCAAAAGGTGTGAAAATGAGTCGCGTGAATTTAGCTAAGGCTAACTCGCTAGCTACAGTTAGCTGGTCTTCACTGTACTTTTTTCTCTATCATATTTTATGTATTTTTTTTATGACTCTTGCAAAGTTTGTTAAAATTTCGAGCCTTAGAAAATTACATTGTTTCTAATTTCATTAGAGTAACTTTTCACTTTTAAAGTCATGCACTGGTCTGAAGCTTCTGGATCCGGGCTATTGACTTGTTTTGTTACTGTCGGGCTCCTTTTTTAAAACAGATTTTTCTGGAAATCTTTGCAGAGAAGCTACACACAGAAAACACTAGAGTTAATTATATCATGTGTTCTTACAGGCGCGGTACTTTTGCGACCTGCTTCTGGTGGAAGGAAACAAGCAGGAAGTGGCAGAGCTCTATTAGGAAACACTCACACACATCATCACATCTTTGCTCATTTTTGTGCAGATGTCATGAAGGTGCACTGTGAAGTCTATATTTGGGTGAGAAGTACTGCTTCCGGTTTGGATCTTACAGTCAATGCTCTAGAGAGGAATGATAAATAAAAAGTGAAGTTGATATATTAATCGCATTTTAACGAGGCAGCGCATCAGTGATGCTGAGCTGCGGGGCTCGCGCTAAGCTAGCAGCGGCTAGCGGGTCCTACCTGGTCGGCCAGTTTCAGAACAGCCATCTCTGGGTCAGCTTCGTTTGCGCATCCACTCGCCCCCAAACCGCAGCACCATGCACGGTGCGATGCTGCGCCTCGCTCTGCCGCTACTTCCCCCTCGAGCTTCCTGCGGCACTACAGCCGACTGAAAGGCGACGTTTTAGATCGTAATTCTCTACCAGGCACTCAGACGGGTGACTGTGGTGATGGTGAAGGCCGGTAGGAGCTCCACGGCCATCAGCCCCGCTCCACCGAGGCTATCTGCGGCAGGGCTGCTGAGCCGAGGCAGGCGCGCGGAGTCGCTGGGAGGCAGGGAAACAGGAAAAGCTTGACCCGCTGCTGTGAACGATCCACATTTATGGCTGCTTCTATTACTTCTGGTGCACGGAGGTCCCGGGCGGCTCTCGGAGTTTTGCAGCAACCCTCACAAACCTTCCTCGTCCCCGTTCTGCAGAAGCAGAAAGCTCCCGGAGAGGAAGCTAGGCTGCAGTCAGCTGAACGAGATCACACAGGAAGTCCTTGCTTCTCTCCTGCTTTCAGATGCAAGAGTGGAGGCGAAGCTTGCTAAGCATCACCAGAGCTGCAGCATCTCCTCGTTGCCGCCACCCAATGGCCAAACGCTGAACTGCAAACCCCAACAATAACTCGAATAGATTTCATGTTTGTTTTTGGGGTTTTTATTGAAACATCAAGGCAGACATCTCAGAGGTCTACCGTCAGGCGGTCACTAGTTAACCTAAAAGCGACTCCTAATGTACTATAAAGAAATCCACACAAACAAATAAGTCTACTGGAAAATATAAAAAACTTATTACAAAAAACTCAAACTTAAAAGATTTTGAATTTTATTCATATTCTACCAAACTCAAATTGCAACCATCTGCTTTCAGGAGGTATGTCCTCATGCTTGCAGCACAGCAGCAGCATTAGGGATAACTTTAAGCAAGGGACATCTCCTAGTTCTGTTTTCATGATGCATTCCAAAGGTTATGAAGGAAGGAAGCAGATGGATGAATCTACTGCAGACACTGAAACAGTGTGACAGGAGGACTAGACTGTATGGTGTGGTGTCATATTTCATTCACAGATGTCATTCAGTGAACATTTTATTTCTTTTTGACCTACCGAGCCTTTGCTGCCAAAAATACTACCGATAGTTTGAGGAAACAATGTTCCTGAAGTGTTTGGTTTGGTTGAGATGTGGATTATGAGGTGTGACTTCTACAGATAGAATCTGATCAATATCTGTTGTTTTTTCTTTCTTTTTCTTCTGTTTCTGGAGCTAGTCAAAACCAGTTTTTCTAAGAAGCCATTGCAGCCTCGCTATGGGAAGTACTTCACAGCTTTTTAAAAAAAATAAGCACACATCATTACTCTGCAACTGACACGACAGAGAGTTCTCCCAGAAAAACATTCCAAAAAGATGAGCAACCAGTTCCGGATTCTAATTCTATAAAATTTTCTCAAACTGCTGCTAAGGTTTAAAATCTTTTAACACCAGAAATCTTGCCAGATGAGTGGCTTTTTCTCTGGGTGTAGTAATAAATGAAATCATATGTTCCCTGTGATGAACTGGGGGTCTTGTTTGGAGACATGTGGATGTAGTTCTGGTCTGCAGTTGTGAGGACAAAATTGTTCTTAAGTTGAGCTCTGCCAGAAAAGCTCCTCGTCCCCGATCTCATCTGTGGCACTCCTGGACAGGATCTTGGGATTAGTTGCGAGGGAGAGGACCTCTGATTTTGGAAACTTGGGACTCGTATCTATGCTTTTTGCAGATGATGGGTTTCTGTTGCCATCTTCAAACCACAACCACCACGTGAAGCAGCTGGGATGAGACAAAGTCTAGACCAGGGGTGCCCAAGTCGAGACCTCAAGAACAGTGATGTATAGATTCTTTGCTGCTCCAACATACCCAAGTCAACTGGCTTAAGTCGTTCTCTAGCAGTAATTCGGGTTGGCAGAGGCCTGGCAACAAGCCATTAATTTCATCCAGGTATGTTAGAGAAGGAATGAATCTAAAAGTTGTAGGGTGGTAGCTGTCAAGGACAGGACTTGGGCACCCCTGGTCCAGCGTATTATTCCTCAATTGCAGTCCTTTGGGCTACTGCCCTGCATATTTCAACTGTCTGTTCCGAACTCCTGATTCAAATGATTGGATAATCTCCTCTTTAGCCACAAAGTGCTGCTGAAACCTGTTAATCACCCACATATTAAAGTCGGGTGTGTGGCAAAAGAGGGAAAACCTAATACATGCAGTGTGGTGGTTCCTAAGGATCGCAATTGAGAAACACTAGTCATGATTCTCAACCGTAAATAGGGCAGCTCAAGGGTGTCTGAGTTCAGTCCTCGAGAACTACCATCCTATAACGTATTGATGCATTCCTTCTCTAACACCTGGATAACATGAATGGCTAGTTACCAGGCCTTTGCTTAAGCTATTTGACCTGGTTGTATTGGAGCAGGGATGCATCTAAAAGTTATAGTGTGGTGGCGCTTGAGGCCTAGACTTGGGCACCCCTGGGGTAGATTGATTGTTCCTGGTTGGGGTCAGGCTCTGCATCAAGTCTAGGACCTTGCTGTCTTGTTCACAAGAGATGGTTGAATTGAGACAAAGTCTAGAATGAGACATTGGGGTCTGATATGAAGAAAGAGCAAACAAAAAAAACAAAAAACAAAAAGTGGTCTGTTCAGACCCTCACTAATGGTCCCAAAATCAGTGAAACAAGCAACCGGTATGAGTGTCCTCCGTCCAGGCACCTTCAGCCTTACAGATAAGATTAGGAGCTTCATCATCTGCTGCTGCTGTACATGGTCAGCAAGTCAGTTGAGGTCATTTAGAAATACGAACAGGATGCCTCCGAGGCACCTTCTTTTGGAGGTATTCAGGGCACATCCAGCTGGGATCAGACCCAAACCACTTTGGAGAGGCTATATTTGCCTTCTGGCCTGGGAACGCCTTGGGATTCCCTATAATGAGCCAAGGAAGAGGATGTCAGTTTCCCTCTTCAACCAGTTGACACAAGGACTGATTTCAGTAAAGCTGAAAACAGCAGACAGATGTACTGAATATGGAGAAACTGTGCCGTCTTTCTCCAGCTGGGCACTGCTGAGGTTTCACTTTCTGTCTTTAAGAAAGACAAACATAGCCGTTTGGAAACGCTCCTGGGAGTAAAAACCTTTGCTTAAAACCCGTTTAGACAAATGTTTTAGGCATATTTCAGCAACAAGCATAGTTGAAAATTCTTGACCCAAGGTTTTATTGTGAGGCTTTCTTTCTGGCATATAATTAGACCAGGGTCATTTCTCACTGAATTATCTTCACTAGTATGCCGTCCTGTGAATACTAACCTCTCCATCTGGTATGCAGAGAATGTCTTTTTGCATGTGATCCAACATTCATACTTATCTTAACCGTAAGAATCTGTACTTTTCTTGCCACCTTCTACTCTCTCCTGCATGCTGAACACAGAATTTACTTTTTTCCCCCCAATGTTCAAAAAATCAAAACAGATACAAATACTTTGCAACAAACGTCCAAAAGTGAGCAAACTACACAAACGGATCAGAGAGGGAACAATATGGCCTCAGTTCAGCCGTCTGCAGGGAAATCTGGGTCAGAGAGTCTGTGGTGCAGGAGTGAGCTGAACTGAGGGGAGGGGGAGGTGCGACTCAGTTGGTGAATATGTGGAGGTTTTTATTTTCTTATTCTTTGTCGCTTTATTACAAGCTCATTTGCTACCCAGGACAGTAAAAAGACAAGATGCACGGCCTTCTTCCTGCAGTTAGATGCAAATGCAGAATGGGAGGAAGAAAAGAAACTCAACCAGAAACAGGATTTTGTACACAAACCTTTTATTTGGTTAAATAAAGCCTTGATCTAAGTACAGAGGTGGTGTGAAAAATGGAGAGGGTCTGGGCGGTACAGAAGTCTATCATAACCAATTAAACAGACAAAATGATCCAGATATTTAAAATGTGCTGACGACAGCCCTGTGTTCCTAGACAATCTTCCGACCTCAATTACTTCTTACAGGAAACACAAGTTAAAAGTAAAAAATACATACAGACTCTACAAGGTTCCTTCTTTCACGTTTGGATTTTTTCACTCAAGTAGAAGAAACTGAATGTAAGCACGAAGCCACTAAATAAAAACTGACCCACAGGCGACGGATCTAGAGCTGATCAGAGTTGGGAAGAAAAAAAGAAAACAATCCAAAAAAAAATCAGTGCATTTACAAAACGTATTCGAGCTCATAGCGGACGTAGACGTTCTTCTCATCGTTGTAGACCTGTGGGTAATGAGAAATCAGGGCGTCCTGGGAACCAATGTAGATGGAGTTGTAAATCTTCCAGTAGACGTCTCTCACCTTTCGGGCCGGATGGAACAGACCCTGCAGAGACAGACGGGGTTAAACAAAGTGGTTCGTACATATTCATCGAAACATTCTCTCTAGTCATACAGTTCTAACATCCCTCATCCTAACCCTGGTCCCTACCTGTAAGCAGTACTGCAGCATGCGGCAGGGGCCGAGGGCCACTCTCAGCCCCTCCAGGGCGCCCATAACAGCCTGGATGACGTGGGGAGACGTCTCAAAAACGTTGGGCCACACATAATTCAGTAAATGGTTGAGAGAGTCTTCACAGCCAAAACCGTAGACACCCAGAGACATGTGCTGGACGACGGCGCTGGCGGTCTGCCTGTGGACCAAATCTCTGCAGGATGACAAAGAAACCAGTTCAGAACGACATCCAAACAACGCTCTTACGCCAGTCACATGGTTTTATCCCAGTATATTATAAGCCTGGCGGGCCACCAGGCTTTACTTACCAAAAACACATCATTAACTCGTCATACTTTCACATTTCCTGTCAACTTTAAACATTTAACTCAAAAACATGCTAGGCTGCTGGATGACTGCCCTAGCGCCACCTTAGCAAACCTAGTAAGTTTTCTGGGTGAAACCCTGAGTCATGCGTCTGGACAGGTTCTTCTCCACACACATTTCTATTTTGCATCTTGAATGATGTAATTGGAAAGGCCAATTCGATAAATGAAAATTAAATGTTCCATTTCGTATATATATGGTTTCTCCAAGGCATCTGTAGGTTTCAGCAAGTCAAATTTAAAACAATTTGGCTTTTCCAACTCATCAAACCCTGGGAAAACACCTAATTCCCTAGTTTTCCTTTCTGGATGGGAATCCAGATAATAGCTGAAGTAAACTGTATTTAAATATATCAGTAAGCAATTCCAACTCATCAGGGAGTTGTTTTAGACACGCCAATAACTTGCTAGAAATCTTTCAAACTGAGGTGCATCACCTGTCCATTAATGCGTCCTCCAGCAGAGGTGTGACAGCGTAGATGTAGTCTTTTCCCATTTCTCCGATGTACTCGAACAGGAACGAGAGCGACTTCAGGACGCCGTTCTGCACGTTCAGCTCAGGCACTCTGTATTCGTTCATGAGCGCCGGCAGCACCGTGAACGGCGAACAGGTCTCCGCCACGATGGCGATGGCCACGGTTGTACACACACGGTTCTGACGCTCCTGGACCTTCAGGTTGTTCAGCAGAGTGGCCAAGACGTCATGAGGCCTGAAAGGA